TATTAACCTAATTTATAATCACGCTAGACAAGGACGGGCTCAGTTTAAAGGTTCCCTTTTCAGAAGGGACGCAACTCCGTTGTCCTTATTGGTCGATGAACCGGTTTCATGTTTCCAGGACATGTTCACATGGGTGGGAGTTGTACGGGTAAGGCTTTGAGTTCAGTTTAGATTAAGGCCGTTGTAAAAGATGTAATGTACTGATTCAGCTTGTTATACTAGCATAGGAGCATAGGTCATGGTAACCTACTTAGCCCTTGCACATTTAACTAAGGTATCTCCACTCAACCAATGAGGTGAATGGACGAGTCGACAAATGAAGGGGGTTGGGCGGGCTTTCTGTCACTGTGGCTGAAGGTAAACAACGATAACTGAACAGTGGGCGTCGGGATCAAGACTAGTCACTGGCTGTGTAAGTTTTCACAGATTCGAATACATAACCCTGCATATGCATTGTCAGCCTTAGACCATGTCTTGATTAACATCTAAATAACGTGCTAACTCTGACTTCCGGGAACCTACTTTCGGTTCTGAATACAGATGCTTGTCGTGAGAGGCGACTGGCGGGATCGTGTGGTCAGGCTCGCTGACTTGTTTGATGCATGTCGTCGATCCCAATTGCGTGGATCGATACTCATGTTGTCAATCACTGGAGTGTGTGGTCCAGACTCGATTACTTACAGACCGCCGTCATATAACCGGAATATTACTGAGTGCGGCTTTAAACAACATGAAACAAACGAATACTGAATTAGTTCAACAGAATGCGTTAAAAAAAATGCTTTGAGTAATCTCGTTTTTCATACATCGCTAATCTATTTATGAGTACTGTTAAATCATGGATGTCTGAATGGTCAAAGTGAGCTAACGATTTCATTCCAGAAGTTGCAAATACCTCATTCTCAATTCATGGTAGTAACTTGTTTCAAATGTGTCCTTTAAGACTTCGATTGATAAAGCAAATCAAGAATGAAAAATATCTGCTTTTAAATGGGACAGTTGCACTTATGAATGCACCTATCATACATTCCACAGCTATGACACACCAGCCCCTTTACTCGGAAAAGGGCAGATCTCGTCTTTCGATTTGTGTTCCAGGTATCGAAGGTCAGATAAGGCCGCGTCAATAGGGCTGTACGAGGGCTGGTCCAAACGTTTTAAGCCTAACAAACAAAACCAACAATTGTGAAAGTGTTTTAAAAGTTATTTTTCAACATAATCTCCCTGCTTTTCAATACACTTCTCATATCGATAGTGAAGCTTTTCAATTCCAGTCAGGAAGAAGTTATCTTCAGCCACCCTGAAAAAACCATTCACGACAGCTTTGCCGTCATAGTGCTTTCCACGAAGGTGTTCTTACAGTTTAGGAAACAGGTGGAAATATCTTGGGGCCAGGTCTGGCGAGTATGTGTGTGTGTGTGTGTGTGTGTGTGTGTGTGTGAGGGGGGAGTGGAGGTAGCTCATCGAACACACATTGTCGCACAGGAAACCCACATTGTCGCACATGAGCCTTATTCATCTGTAAATGTTCATGACTACAGTTTCAATGAATAGTTTCAATGGATCCATGGCTTAGACCTGTGTCTTCCTCAAGTTCAACAGTGGAAATACGTCTATCTGACAGTATAAGTTCTCCTTGATTGAATCTTCATTGATGGAAGTTGAGGGGCGTTCTCCCAGCCTTAAACATAGCTTAACAACATTTAACATTGGAATAGCTAGGGCTCTTATCCCCACACACTTGTGACATGCGGTCATGAATTTATAGGGGAGTACTTTTTCCTAAAGTCCAAAACTTGTTGACTGCTCAGTACTCGTTATTTTTCTATGTATGTGTCCATTTATACACCAATCACGTTCAACTGGCTGTCACCAATATACAAACGGCCTCAACAGACCAAATACACTTGCAATGAACTACACAAACAATGTACTACATTGACTAGTTCACTTTGTTAAGTCCCATAGTTGAAAGTTAGTCAAGCTTAGAACTTTTTGACCAGCCCTCGTAGAACAATAATCAGCATAATGGTACAAAATCGCATGACAAGTTGACATTTTCACTCGTGATAACACCACCCATGAAAATACCAACGTCGTGTGGCACTCGATGGCATGTGTTTGTCAAGAAAATACAAATATTTTCTACAGGAATTGAAGCTTACATGACTTACGTTACACAAGTTTTAGACCAAATGAGACAAAACGACATTTGAATACATATTAATTATGAATAAGGGGTGACCTTGTAAAACACTTTTCGCTGGTTATTTACACACGCACGCACGCACGCACGCACGCACGCACGCACGCACACATACACACACACACACACACTCACACATATACACTCACTCGCAAACACACACCTCAGCGCATCCTTTGTAATCCCAATAACGTATCGGTAACAAATTTGACATCACCAGCAAATAGTATCAGACTACTGTTGTCAATGTTCTCATCAACAAAATGCCTCGAGGGCTGCTTTCAGTCCATTCTTGCACTAATTCATTACCCAAATATATAAATAGTATTGGAATTTTGCCTTATTCCACGGTTTGTGGAGAATCGATTCTGATAAGGGTGGAAGCAGATACCGTTTGGTATATATATTGTATAACAAATGCCATTAACGTACAAATGCATAATATTTCTTAGGAATGCTCTTGAAATGGAAGGTACTACGTACTGAGTTACGTATATATTAATTTTTTGCAGGTGATACACCATGGAGTGTTATGGATGTGGCATTGGGAAACTTTCAAACGAGTATCCCTCAATGAATCTGACGGAGCAGTGCAAACATCCACGATTCTTCTGTATGAGGGTAAGATCGTCGATGGCTGTCAGCGATCTCCGGAATTAGTGTACATATCAATTTAATATCTGGATATCTCACTACTGGGCCATCCGGAACTGTAATGTGTTCTCGATGACAGATTATAATAATGATCCATACTAAATGTCTTTGAAATCATCTTGTGATATTGCAATTACTTCAAAGCAGGAGGGGGCGGTGGGGATAGCCTAGTGGTTAAAACCATTTCTGGTGTCCCCCGCCGTGATATCGCTGGTATATTGCTAAAAACGGCGTAAAACCATACTCACTCACTCAAAGCAGGAGGACTGCTGAGCGGCTTTAGGCAATTAACACTTTTTATGCAAAGTGTGTCAGTGGCCGGTGCTACCGGCAAGTCAGAACATGCGTACGCTTTTCGCGAACACATGGTGTCATCATCGATGTTTAGTTATCTATTCATGTTTTCACCGATATTTTGATTTTTGCACCGGGTGGAATCTGTTTCCGTGGGTGATCGGTTCAGATAGATAGATAGATAGATAGATAGATAGATGTGTGTTTTTGTTAAATAATCAAGTGTGGGCAAGACAAACCATTGATTGATATTCTGAGCAAAGTCCAACGTACGCCGTCAGGGCACCGTGACAGGCACTTCACGAAGTCACCCAGCCTCACCTCCCGATCCACAATCAGTGGTCACCGGGGATCTATTCTAATCCGGAATCCCCTCGTTCTCTTTTTGCAACGACGTGCAACTATTACAGTGATATAGTTTATAATGATATATCAAATTACGAATCCCGAATCACTCAAATATTTGCCAGGTGTTATAAGTGTTGTTATTGCATGTTTAATTATAAATTTGAAAATATTCTGCTTTAACAAAGCTCTGCGTGTTTCTTCAGTGTCGGTGTATTATTAGTATTAACGCTGGACAGAGAAACGGATAGAAGTAACAAAGGAAGCTACCATGTTTGTTTTGCTTGTTTGCTTGTTTAACGCCGCACTCAGTAAATGAGCTTAATATAATGATATAGGGGTTGGGTGGGACCTGGAGTTGTTGCTTCCAGTCATCACTTCAGGACATACAATTGTTTTCTCTGAAAGGAGGTACCACATAATATTTATAAAATTTCTAGCATGTTCAGTATACAATTTTACTTAAGTTTGTAAAACCTTAAGAGAAAATATTTTTGTCCAGTATTTCGGGGAACAGAATATCAAATAGCCGGCCTGCTAGAACATTGGCAATTTTATTACACGAAGACTTCAGAAATTGTATTGGTGTGGATAAGTGGTTCCAGGGTTAGAAAAAAATCCGACAAAAACATATATTTCTCGCCTGCTGGTTTTATTGACATCATTGTATCAACAATCTTCACAATATGAACAGATTACACCTGTAGACATGGTCCTTTTCTACCTGCAGATTCATATTCAATATTTGTTACAGCCAGCAGGTACACTTAAATAATTTAATTTAATCACAGTGGGTTGGTGTGTTTACTAAAACAACCAATAGAGAAAAAAGGTCACAATATGAGTTATTATTTACAAAACACAATTACAACACTGACGACGTTCGAATATAAAAATTTACAGCATTTTCATGTTCAAAACATCAGCAATGAAAAAATAGTTTATCAAGTTATACCCAAAACTTAAACTTGTTCCCTGGACACACCGGACGTCCTGAAAAAGAAAGTCTTGTGAAAAGAAAGATCCCAGTCCTCCAACAGAGTGTGTGTATTAATCCTCAAACAGTGCTTTGTTCCTCATCTTCGACTTCTGCACCATTCTCTGGACCTGGGCGTAATCTACCTCACTCTCCTCCACGTCAAACACGTCACCTACTGCAGCACTGGCTATAGCAGCAGGCCGGATACTACTAAGGTCTCTTGACCTATACTCTTTCAAATCTCCCATCTGAGAAATAGCTTTAGCCTTTTCACTAACACCTCCCATTCTGGCATTGTTCCGTCTCAACTTTTTTGTTGTGATACCTTTCTTTGCCATTTCTGCTGAGAGATGTAGCTCAATAAGGTCATCGTCAAATTCGACCCCCGAGTCCTTTAAATGTTTAATGGCTGCACCAACTTCGGTCTTCATGAGGCTTTCCAGTGACATCTCCTCCTCCGCGCCACATACAATGATGGTGGCGAGGTTGTTGGCAGACGCAAGAGGAACGTACTGACCCCCTGTAATGTACGCCAATCCAGTGAAAAAATCCTTGTAGGGTGATAAACTTGGCTCGCATCCAACTACGTAAAGCGTGATTTCTCGAGAGGCCAGGTTATTTGTAACTTTAAAGGGGTCGTGTCCTAGAGGACAGCCTAATGGAAATCCGTCCCGTCCCATTCCAAGTCCGTGGCGGTGCATCAGCAATCAGCACGGCTATCTTAGTTGCACTTCTTCTCCAGGAGAAATTCAAGAGCGCTTGCAGTCCATCTACCACAGCTTCAGGAGTATCCCCTCCTCCTCTGGCAGAACAGACGCTCAACCACGATTTCATAATGGTGACGTCGAAGGTAAAATCATGTTGCCGGGTGACAAAGGTGCGATCTTGTGGGGCATGGTCCCTATACTCAACAAGTGCAAACTTCACACTTCTACCACCAGTCGAGGATATTTGATCGATAATGCGTTTGATATTTGTTCTAGCAGACTCAATATACGACCCCATGCTGCTTGTGCAGTCCATAACAAAAGCGAGATCTAACAAGGACATCTCTCTGAAAAGGTGTACATCTATATCTTACAATACCGTGTGGCGTTGCACCTCTTCACCTTACCATGGTCTGTGACAAAATGCAATCTTCGTGTAACGTCTATATATTTAGACAGGCGTGTTTTCCAGCTTGGGAGATGATAATCATGCTACTTTCGTTTCATGATCAGCCTCGGTTTCGTCTAGAATCAGTTATATTTGCATGTGTAAAATGTCATTCACTGAGTTTCACTCTTCTTTTGAATGTTCTACCCTATTTAACGTATGCTGCTAGGTCTCAGTGTATATTTAGTTCACATTTTGTACTGATAATGTACCCGTGAAAGTCCGGGTTAGAATTGATCTTCAGCAACCCATGCTTGTCGTAAAGGCGACTAACGAGATCAGTCGGTCAGTCTCACTGACTTGGTTGATGCATATCATCGTATCGTAATTACATGGATCGATGCTCATGATGTCAAACACTGGCTTGACTCGATTATTTCCAGACCGCCGTCGTATGGCTGCTAAACAAAAAAAACAAACTGAATATACTATCATACTTGGGACCCAAAATTATTTTTATTTTTAATAAGTGATTAGTAAGTTAAACTACTGTATATCAATTCAAAACTACAATTGGCACGTTTATCGTTGTTTGAGAATGATATATCATATTTTGTATTGGCTTCTAAGGTATTACCTATTGCTGTTCATAATGATAAACAAATCTGAAGGCAATCAGACCTGTCAAACTCCTAATTTATTCATGATAATAATGATTAAGATATCTGGACTTGATACACAAAGCAAAAGTGACACCACTGTGTGCTTTCAATATTTGCTGTTGTCAAGTGCAAACCTCAGTCATGTAGTATTTAGCAGATACTACCTACAGTTGTACCATAAGGCAGTGAACAGTATTCCGGCTGCCTGACAGAATGACAATATCTCGATCTTTGTGTGTGCGGGCGTTTTGTATAACGGGGCACTCCGGAATATCCCAGGTGTTACTTATATTATGGGACCCGTGAAGACCCGGGTTAGAATTTATCTCAAACGACCCCTGCTTGTTGTAAGTCGACTGGTCATGTTCAGTGATGGTTTTGCCACAAATGGACACAGAGTAATATCGCCTTAAAAATTATTACTTATTATAAATATTTAGGCTTGACGCTATAATCAAAGCTATCATGGTCAGTGCGTGCGGACAATTCGCATCGCAAGCATTGGTTAATGCATGTCATCGTAGATCGATTTCACTATTCTCATGATGTTAATCACTGGCTTGTCTGGTCTAGACTCATTTATTAACAGACCGCCGTCATACAGATGGAATACTGCCGAATAGGGTGTTAAACCACAAACAAACGAAACTAATATATGCTATGGGCATGGAAACGTCTAGCTTCGAAGATACTATGAACGAAGTCACCCAGACCGGGTGCAGGAGTATCCCCATGCGAAAATGGCGCCAGACAATTTGGAGAAAAAAGGCCCCACATTTGAGTGAAAATGGCCACAATTTTGGAGAAAATGGACTCAAATATTGGAAAAACAAAACTAACATAAATCTGCAGTGTCGTAGAATATTTATTGTTTAGACGTTAAGTTTTCTTCTTGAAAGGAATTTATGGAATGTGACATGGTCGCCGACTGGTAGCCATAGGATCTTCTATACACAGACACAGCAAGTGAAGGGAAATCCCTCTTCTTGCTGTGTGAGCTCCTTGTACTCAGTGACAGTACCTCCAGGTCCACATACTCTGTGAATCCATCCCTGACAAGAGACAGGATAAAGCTGGCCAGTTTCACCACACCGTCTTCTTATGATTGTTGCAATGAACAGTTGTTTTGAATTTATCTGTGGTCATTGTTGTTGCTTTAGTGTTTAAGAGCTCGCCTTCTGCCTCAGCAATTTCGGCTGACCTGTCCCTCTTTGGGACTCATGTGTGTGAGTAGGGTACATATATCTATTGTGAGTTTTAGTATTGATAACGTTTCTGTTTTTGTATTGATAAGATTTTTATTTTCATATTGGTATGATGGTTTTTAGAAATTGACAGAATTTTGTTTGGTTGCTCGGTTTATATAGTTCGAGTAGCTGACCATCTCTCAGAAATAGAGTTAGTTTGGCCTTCGCTATTACATCTCTTGGCTTTAGGAGACCTATGACCGGATCTAACTGCAATTCTTGTTTTAACCCAGTCCAGGCTGGGGCATGGTCTTGACATTCCAGTAACAAGTGGGCAATGGATTCAGGTTGATTGTAAGATGGACATACCTTGTAATGGTTCTTTTTATGACCGAATCTGAGGCATGAGATGGCTACTTCAACTTTCCGTTCATTTGAGTATGAATATGGCTTTTTGGTGGATCTTGGGTTGATTCTTGTATCATGTGTATAGCCATCTGCCATCTAGTTATCAAAGTGGTAGTATTACAAGCGAGAGTCACCCTACTTCATTATTTTAAACCGACAGATGGGAGTTCAAGTAAATCAGCAGGGTAACAGGTCAAAGATCATAACTGGTTGAAACTAGTTATTTTTGCTTAAAACCTTATTGTATACTGTAGTATTATATGAATTACATGAATGTCCTTGCAGTGTGTGATCAAGCATGTGGAGGCCAATAACGCATGTCCTCATAAGGAGTGTGGCGTTGAAGTAGACCCTGACAGCAAGGTGATGAAGATTCTTGAAGCTACACTGAGGGAGATGTTCCGGGAGTACAGCTGTGAATACACTCCACCTATGTCACTAGGCGGAGATGTGGTCAAAGTCACCATCTTAACTGGAGATGCAGTGGTCCTGCCCTACAGTGCAGACCTCACAATCCTTCAACTGAAAGACGCCATCAAGAAAAGGTTCAAACATGATCACAGCAAGCAAAAACTTGTGTACAATGAAAAAGTACTGGAGGTAATTGTTTTATCTTATTTGGGGAACAAATGACTCATGTGGAGGTAAATTCATTTTGGTTATAAATCACACACGTTTTTAGAGGACACGAGGAAACAGGCAGGCCAGCAGATGCACTCATTATTAGTGGTGGGAGCAGCTGATCTTGGGTTCAAATCCCAAACTCAGTCTAATCTTTGGTTTGTCAACACCATACTTGTGTTCCTCCCAAATTGACTACAAACTTAAAGTGTTCAAAAATGGGTAAAACACAGGTCACCTGTTACGGATATGGAAAACAAATTAATATTCAGCTCACAAATAGTGTTTTGAAGACAAATGATAACTTTACAAACATGCAGTGCTTTTAGAATGTGCAGGGAGTCACTCATGTAAATTTATTTTTGTAATTAAAACGCAAAATAACCATTTTGTTTTTTTACGATAACAACATTACAGAATCTATCTGCAAGTTTGCCTACGGAGATGTGTATATTGCCTCTGTTGTATTACCGGTACAGGTCTTTGGCAGATCACATAAAAAGATGACACTAGCCGACTATGGCATAGAAGCAAATGCCACAATCCATCTGCTTGTCCTTCTGTATGCAATCCCAGATGACCTTGACCACGTTGTCTTTGACCTCCACTGGGGCTATCCCGCCAGCGCTGGGGAAGACAATGTGGACTATCTCGATGCGTCATGCTTTGCTTTCAAGAAGAACATCTACGCCTCTGTTTGCGACTTCATGAATGAATCAGAAGAGTCATCTGCGAAAAAAACTCGTTTCAATCTCATGCGCCATGTGAGAACAGATAACGGATGCAGTGCTGCCATCAAACACTCCGGTGATCGTATGGATGATACTAATAAACGTGGGCACCACACCATTGAAGTTCACATGAAGAAGATCCCAGAGTCGGTGTCACATCTTATCTTCACCCTGAGCGCCTTCAAGGCCCCCACTGTCTCCAAGTTTCCCAACCCAACACTTCAGTTCTATGAAGCCTCCAATACTAATGCTGACCTTTGCTCTACATCATTTGACAGAGCAATCCACAGCCGAGCTATCATCATGTGCTGTGTGGCTAAAGACCATGCTGGGAAATGGCAGATCTACGACTGTGGAGCTGAGTCCGATGGGTGCGCAGCAGGGTACCTCAAACTGGTGGCTACCATCAAGAAACTCATGAAAACAGGAATCCTCTAGTTCAGGACACTGAAGGAACGATATCTGCGGAAAAAGTCCCTGAATCCAAACATGAATACCCTGCAACTGAATTTATCCATCCTGCACTGCTGTATGTGTGAGATAGTAAAGTTTTATGCCACTTTTAGCAATATTCCAGCAATATCACGGTAAGCAACACCAGAAAATATTCAATTCATTCTTAAGAGGGAACATGTGTTTAGTCATGTCTTTGTTTATTCATGTTCACATGAAATGACGTAAAATTTTCACACATTTAAGAAGCACCTTGTTCAATAAAGCAAGCTTTGTACATGCATCCCAATTACCATGTTTTAGTCCCAACTAACCTGAAAAAAATAAGGTGTTCAGGTAATGACCCCGCTTTCATCCTTTTCCTTGTTTGCGTGTTAGATTTTTCTTGTGTTTGTCATGCAGAAAACTGAGTGAGAACATTTGTCTGTGGTAGTTGTTCTTGTGCTCCAGGCGCTTCCAGTGTCAGGATGTTCATCACCTGGGTACACTGACAATCCAAGACATGGGATATATAAAATAACTTGATTGTTGTTTTGTTTGTTTGTTAATTATTGCTGCACTCAGCAGTATTCCAGCTATATGACGGCGGTCTGTAAATAATCGAGTCTGGACCAGACAATCCAGTGATTGACATCAACTGCATCCACGCAATTTAAATACGATGACATGCATCAACTAAGTCAGCGAGCTTGACCACCCGATCCTGTTAGTCGCCTTTTACGGCAAGCATAGTTGCCTTTTACGGCAAGCATGGGTTGCTGAAGACTCATTCTACCCCGGATCTTCACAGGTAACTTGATTGTGGTAGATATATCGTCATATATATGGACCTTGCACTTCTGGTCCAGCCTTGATGAACACACAGAGTGGATACTGGTTGTTATTTCCATCTTGTTTAAGGGTAATGATCAGCAGTTCAAATTAAACCAGTCTATAATACTTGTGTTTGAAGCAAGCTAATATCACTAAACCTGGAGGTATTGTTATGAAACAGTTGGTTGCAAACAAAACACCCTGAGTGAGTGAAGGTTGGTTTATTGCAGACAGTAGTGTCACAGTTATATCACATTGATCTGAAAGACAAGATTTTTTTCTAATTCTTGGTTTGTAGAGTTTTTGCAAAAAGTCACCTGAGTATGTTCACCAGATTAAAGCTTGTCTCATCAGTCTTGCAGTTGAAATTCATTAAATGTGGCCATGTCATTTGAAGCTAAATGTCAATATTTATTATGACCATTTGAGCTTATAACATTGTTTGTTTGTTTGTTGTTTAACGCCACACTCCAGCTATATGACGGCGGTCTGTAAATAATCAAGTCTGGACCACACATCCAGTGATTGACATCATGAGCATTGATCCACCTAAATGGGATACGATGACATGCATGAACCAAGTCAGCGAGCCTGACCACCTGATCCTGTTAGTCGCCTCCTACGACAAGCATAGTCGCCTTTTATGTTTAGCATGGGTTGCTGAAGACCTATTCTTGTAACAGTGTAGAATTATCACAATCATTGATAACAGGTATTTTGCAAATAAAGTAATGCATTCAAACTAAAAAAATCACACAAAACAAAGATCACTACCATTAAAGGCTTATTTCATCTGGTCAGTGAGGTGCACAAAACTTGATTGATCCTCAAACCATGCAAACAATGGCTTCTGACAAAATAACAATCAGAAATAAATAACGTTCGTGTTATAGTGACCTACAGGCAGCCGATTATATATAATTGTTGGCCTAACTATGTTAGCATGGTTAGTGTATCAAAGTCTATTCACAATTTCAAACACATGTAAAGATAATAAATTATACTGAAACGCAATTTTGAAAACTTTAGTATTCCATATATATATACGTATATTTATATTTCATCATAAATGGCTTACAATAGTGAATGCTTATAACAAAATATAACCAAATATCACCAAATATTTGACATTATTCCTGAGAAATAATTACTTCCTACAGTTACATTCTTCTGCAAATTTGTATGACATGGGAGAAGAGAAGCTGCAGAAGGGTGCTGATCGACCTTGTCACTTCTGTGTATCTGTCTGGGAGTCCTCCTCCTCTTCCCCTCGAGACTTGAACCGTTTGGTCAGCTTCCGTCGCCGTCGATACCCAGGCTTCTGTTTTGAAGGTGACTCCACCCGGATATAACCTAAAAAATAATAATTCATTTTCCTCATACTTGAAACAAGCAGTACATGTAAGTCCAGTCACATTGTAAGAAGATATTACCAACTAGTGTAATCTATTTGTATTAACTCAGATTTGTCATACGTTATTGAAAAGTTATACCTCCCAATGGAGCATCTTCATTTCTTCATTGAAGTTTGCATTGGCAATCATCTACTTGAAAATAACTCATCCTTTATCCCAGTACAAATGTATATATAAAGAAGTGAAGTTTTGTTCAGATATGACACTGAACATTGTTTTGTATTTTCTGATACGAATTATAGTGAGGTGAGGTGAAATGGAGTTTGATGGTTGTTCAAGATTATTGCGACATGCATGCTGTGTGTTGCTGTTTGTACTAGTCTGGACCATAACACAGTTTAACACAGTTTCACATAGATGAAACACTCAGACATATATGAGCCGATCAGTCCTTGTTTATTCAATGCCAAGCATCAGGCAGGGTAACAAGTACCATCTTTGAAGGTCTCTTGGTATGACATGGTCACTGGTCAGGGGATCAAACCACAGACCTTCCGCTCTCGGAGCAGACGCTCTATCTGCTATACCATGGAGGCAGTTGATACAATATAAGCTAACAGTGCAAACATGCTTATGGTCTTGGGCTGTAGAACCCCATTAAAATGTCATTTAAGTTCCACAAATAGTATGTATGTCTTTTCATTATTTGCAAATCGTAAAATAGTCCATGCAGTAATCATGGTAATGTCACATATATGCTTCTCAAAAAATACTATATGAGTTTGGGGGATTTTATTATTAGCGGGTATTCTTTTGATAAAGGCAATGCCGCATTCTAATGCAAAAACCTCCATTGTCTAGGGGAGATAACTCTAGGCCTCATTTTGTAAACAACACATGGTTAAGGTCCATTTGCACACAAAGATATTACCGTATTTGACGGAATAAGCGCCCAGGGCGCTCTCAAAATTAGAAATAGGGGGCTCTTATTAGAATATTATTTTGGTTGAAAAAACAGAGTTGAAAGATAAATTTCGTGGTTTATGCTGACAGTCTGAACTGTTTATTAGACAGATATATTTTTTCCAGAATTTAATTGCCCATAATTAAGGATGCATATAACACACTAGTGTGTATTATACACGAATAAATAAGTCTTGTGTACATCGATCAAACGGAAGGGATGCTAATTAGGATTGTTCACTTGCCATATATTAGCAAATATCGCCGTGGGCGCTTATTAGAGCAGCCCGCTTATTACGTCGAATACGGTAATAGCTTTAGGAATGCTGTACACTTAGAGTAACAATAGATAAGGGTTACAAAAGACAAGCACCAACATGAACAATTTGTGACAATGGGCCATACTTGGCCATGGGTTTAGTGAAGGGATATTCATGCAGTAGCCATTACCTCTAACATGTTATCACATAACCCTAAAGTGTGTGATATCTGTAACAAGCGAACATTTGGTTGAAAGTGTGGGCATTAATATCTGATATGTGAGCACTATTTTAGTCACTTCTTAAAAGGATGGGTTACCACCGCATGGTCCATTTGTACAAACAGATGTTAGCACTACAAAGATCATAACTCCAATACCTTAACATAGAATAGGCATAGAGCTGAGTTCAATTTGTGCAAGTGGGTCAAAAACTCCTGCCTGGAGACTTAGGACAGGCATCACCTTTCCCTACAGACTAAAAGGTATGTGTTGTAAATGTGCAGCTATTACACTCAGCCACTGGTCCAAGGGAGTTAACTCTACACAAAACTGACTCGGAAATTTTGTGATATGGAGCAACTGCAGATATCCCAGATGAACAGAATAGAATAGGGAGAGTAGGGATAGAAATTAGCCAAAAACATCAACTAACCCAAATAGTGATAACACACAGCAATACCTCCCAAAATGTTTGAAATTCTACCAGCCCTAAGATATGTAAACATGCATACCTCCAAGTTGTAACCAATTAAAACTAACAAATACTTGTGAAGCATTTTGGCAATTGTAAGGTGCAGCGTCTGGCCTTAACATTAACAATACTGCTCCGGGCTGGCGGGCTCGTGCTAATTTCCATCCCTGGTAGAAGAGCAAACCAGTGAGTCACCTCTCTCCTCACACTCCTGTGTATCAGGGAATCCGATGGACCAGAAGTGTTCAGGCGTGGAGGGCGGCAGGTAGCGGGCGCGGTGTCGGGAGCAGTCCTGGATCTGCTGCTGGATTTCCTCCTCTGAGCAGCCTTTACTCTTGTAATACTGCAGAGGGAACACAAGCTCAATGTATAAACACTGTTTGTTTGTTTGTTTGTTTGTTTGGTCTTTAATGCTGCAATCTGCAACATTCCAGCAAAATGATGGTGGCCTGAATACAGTCAAGTCTCGTTAATCCGACACTCGTTAATCCGACAATCGGCTTTATCCGACACTAATGATGGGAACCGATAAAATCAGTGCTATTTAGACCCGTTAATCCGACACTCCGACTCTGACGAATTACGGAATTATCAGTCTCGTTAATCCGACACAGTGATCAGCGTACTCCGTGGTCATCTGCCCACGAGTTCTCAGCCAGTGTTTTGATGCGAGACGAATCGGCTGGTAGCTGCATATTACAACGGATGCAGAGATAAACTTGCTTAACAATAAACAATTAATGCTTTAAATACAGGATTAATCACATACTTAGATTACCTCATTCTCATTAAAATCAGATACAAGTTCTCGCTATCGCCCAGGACATCCCGTTACAGGTCACAACAGAACAATATTTCACGAACTATGACCGACCAATGAAATGCCTGACAGGAAGTCAACGTTGGCCACTAAGAAAGCAGCTTTCTCAAGCTTTGCGGTACCAGTTTCAAACTGGCGACTTCCATTCCAGACTATCCTTTTTAATTTTTTTTGAATAAGTCATACAGTCTGTAACAGTTATTTTGTGCTTAGCTTTAAAGGTTGCATGATTAGAAAACATATTCCGCTAACAATGTAATAAAACAATATGAATATTTCATTTTTCATTTTTTATTACTTGTTTGTATCGTTACCTATTGTGTAGTCTGATTTTCGATCACGAACGTTGATACTACATAATTCCGTTTATCCGACATTCTCGTTCATCCGACATAATCATATGCAACCAACGATGTCGGATTTACGGGACTTGACTGTATAATGCTTTTTTGTTATTGAACCCCGCACTCAGCAATAACCTAGTAATATGATTAGTCTGTAAATGATCGACCAGTGACTGATATCATGACTGAAAATAATGAGCCTGGCGCAGACAAACAAGTGGTTGATGTTATGAGCAACGGTCCACGCTGTCAGGGTATTTGTGACACACTATCCACTAAATCACGGATCCTGTTCCGTTTGCGTTAAACAATAAACAAACAAACTTCTAGCTTGTACACATTTGTATCAGTCTGCAAACCACGTGTGCCCACCTCATAACACTCCTGACAGCTGGAGGCCTTTAGCTGTTGTCTCTCCACCTTCTTCCTCACCACGTCCACATAGGCGAACTCAGCCTGCTGTTTCCGCGGCACTCTGGAAGGAGATGGAATAACAACAGTTTGGTAAGGAAAGGCAGGGATTTATCTGAGCCCACTCAGAGGCCATCATTAATGTCAGTTTAAGTTCCCAAATTGAATTTAAACTTTCCCAAATCATGCTGATATGGTTATAATTAATGTGATGGTTTGGTCGAGGTGATTTGCATTTCACTCTTGGACGTGCATGCACATGTGTATGTGTGGCTGCTTGTGCTATTCTGGACTAAAGCCGACCTTTTGTGCTAGCCCACTGAGATACCATATCGCAGTAATTCTTTTACATGATTACCCCACTCAGACACAGTATACTGACTTCGAGGTGACCAGTCTTTGAGCCCCTTAATGCTGAGCACCACGCTGAGTTACAAGTACCAACATTAAACATCTTTTGGTATGATCGAACCCCAAACCTTCCCCTCTCCAGGCAGACTCTCTACAACTAGGCGGTCTAAAGACCCCAATGACAACGCTTAAGTTCAAAACAGCACACTGTACCACTGTCAGTGAAACCAGTGTGTATCCGAGTGTTGTGCTACCCATGTGTCCCAGTGTTCCACAGCACACGGCACCTTAATCATTGTTAATTACTCACAGAGGGCTCATCAGTGTCAAAAAACATGAGAAGGGCGGTTTTCACACTTTCTGTTAAGTTCATATACAAATCAGTGTTTACAATATTTGTCAGATTAATTAGATCGCAGCTTCAACAGTTTCTGACCTGTCAAAGCTGTCACTCAAGGACTCCCTCCTGTGACCCCGCCCATCGGGAGTAATCGTGTGTTCTTCCTCCTCCAAGTCATCTACATCACCACCTGCAAGGATACGACAGAGACAGATGAGTAAAATGTTACATTTTTAATTTCCAAATTAACAGATGACGATGAAATGTATTATTTTTATACTTATCCTATCTCACACACATTTCTTCTTTTATCCTATATGGAATCGTGCTTGAACAGAGTTTTCAGCTTCGAAAAAACAATATCCACCTGAACACACACCAGCATCACCCTGGTACCCTCCCAAACGAATGGGTCGTGATCCCGTGCATAGAGACCTACACAACCTGATCATGTGCCTCCTTTGTCACTTCATTCTCTTTCTCATCGTCACGTGGTGACGTGTCTGACAATTTGTTTTGCCCCAACGATTCCCCAACACTTAGTGCAGACGTTTTTATACCACGTTAAGGGGAGTGCAAAAGAAAAAGGAAAAAGCGGTAGATAATCTGCATCTTGCTTGTTCGTAATGTCGACATACCTACTATACCTTTGACCCACATCAAAAGTGTTGTGATTGTCACAGACAGTGCAGCCTTGAATGATGCAGTACAGAATGCAAACACCTCCGGAGGCTGCATTCTCCATTTATCTCCCCAAATGTCATCAGTGGGAAATTGATCGCCACTCCAAATCCCATGACTCGGACAAGAAGTCTTAAGATGAATCCATAAATGTCCACTGTCACTCATCAATGTACAGCAAGCCTTCTTCTGCCACCGTGTCTACTTCTGTCCCCTTAGCCTCCTCATTACCTGTACTATATATGTGGCCAATGAAGGAGTGTCTGACAGCTTTATAACTGAAGATATTGCCGATCAGCCTGGGTCATCATCTCTGACAACAGCACTGGTCACTCCAGATACCATAGTGGTCTTTGCCACCACTCCCTCAGGTGCTAATTCATCTATGATGGTTGTCTCCCTTTCGACTACTCCATCGCCTGTGGCATCCCGTTCAGACAAACATTCCATCTCCACTAATGCTGTTGGCAACCCTAGACCATTGTATCCACTCCTATCGATCCCCAAGGCCCAACGTCTCCAAGGAAGGATCAGGTTCAATTGCCCTCTTCACCTACGGCTTACAGTCCATAAGTGGCTTGTTCAAATATTCACCACTCTCCTGAACACTCTCCAAGGGATCGCAGTTCTAAGGTTCCATGAACAGACTACCCGATCCCAGGATCGACGTTCTTCTGATCACTGCTCCCACAGCATTCAGTCTCGAATGGCTTGGATCAACGCTCTCGCTTTGACAAGTGACGTTCCAGATCAGGTGACAACAGGATCTAACCACAGGACTTCGTAGCGGAATTCATGCTTGGCCTTCAGCCTCGTATCGTATGTGGGTGAATCTTTTTACAACAATCAACATAAATTCAAACTTTCAAAAGAATGTTCTTCTGATTATTAGGATTGTGTACTGCCTCGAATTTTGTATTTCAATATATTTTTATTCTTAGGTTCGTATTGTGATACATACTCCAATTTCATGTCATAACACACTGCTGTGTTTTCTTCCACTTTCAAACTGCACTTCATATTGTTGGGAATGAGCTCAAGATCAAGAGGCTTGACCAACATTTTTAACTGTAGTAATGCTTAATCATGGGAGGTAACACAGTGACAAATAGTAGTGCTTCCTAGAAATATTAATAGAATGAGACCAGCTGTACCAGGAAGATTACAATTTATTTCATTATTGATAAACCCAAGGAAAGCACTTATCATGCTTATTAATATATTTTCTCAATATATCGACCAATTTATCGTAAAACACATTGTTGATGGCTTGCATCCCAGTGTACAGGTATACCGGTAATACCATGCACTGCTACTGATTATGCTTATCAACATGTCAAATATAGTATGCTCAAATATGTTTTACAGCTTGTTTTTTAACCAAACTTTGCATTAATGACTAAATTGTAAATATATTAACTTTGTCTCGTCGCTATATGGCTGCGATAATGCCGATGCGATGTTAAATTTTAACTCAGTCACTCACTATCAACATGACATCAATGGCAGTGTCATGTCTACATGCTTATAGCATGGACAGGACTTAAGCCAAATGTGTCTGGAAAGATTTTCAACCTTGATGTGAAATTACAATAAATCGGACCTCACCTATCACTGCTTCTTTTCCTTGAGAATCCCCAGATTTGGAAGATTTGGAAGAACCAAACTTGAAACTGCGTGAGCTGAGTGGAATACTGTCAGAATCTGTCTGCACACTATCAACATCCATCTGTGCCTGGAACATGTGAGCTTTCATGAACTTGGGGTCAAGGGTTACATCAGCTTCATTCTCCTCGTCCTCTGTGTGTAGAGATGGACCCATACTCTCTGCACTAGAACTGGGCTTGCTAGCTCCACTCTCTACACTAGCACTGGGCTTGCTGGCTCCATTGTCAGCAAGGTAGTCATCATGGTCCAGAGAGACTCCTTCATTGAAGGAGTCAAAACTCGGGACACTAGTCTTTTTCGTCCTTAACATGCTTAACCTGTCTTTCATGTCTTCATTACCAGATTCAGCAGTTGAGGCTCTACCATCCTTATTCTTCTTGCTAAATCTAGATTGAGCCTCACCGGAAGCAGGGTCTGCATGTGTTCTGCTGCCAAGCACCTTGTGAATCCCACCCTTTGTTCTGTAACAGGTGCCCTCCCCTACATCCAGCGAGGCTCCCTGTGACCCCTGACTGTGACTGGCTGACCTGGGGCCTGGGTCTCTCCTCGGCTCTCTCCTCGAGCTTCTTCTCAAGCCTGGCCTCTGTGACAGGAGTTCTGTGTCAGAACAGTACTGAGTCAGGCTTACATCGGGGTCCAGGCTCTCGTTCAAGACATTCACTGGAAACTTCCGTATCTGATCCACACCGTGTCCTTTATCAGAAAATGTCTCCAAGGATGCTGAGTCTGGAGCTACAGTTTCATCTAAGTCTATCACATCCACATGGTCATTCTGTGTTCTGGAATGTCGGTCTGATTTCTGTTTCGGTGGAGATTTCTTGTTTGGAGACCTCTTGGATGGAGACCTCTTGGATGGAGACCTCAGTGACTTTGGTGAGGGTGGCTTCTTAAAGACAGGGGGAACATTCTCAGCACTAGTAGCATCATCGGGTTTGTGTTTAGATCTCACAAACAGAGTCTTCTTTGTCCTGACCCCCTCTGTGTTGTCATGTATCTCCTGCAGTGACAGTCTGATAGCCTTATCAATAGCAGCCCTTTCCTCGGGTTTAGTGGGAGAGACAGGCAGGCCAGGTGGACTCGGGGTGAAAGCCTGGCTCAGAGTCGTCTGCTTCAGCTTCTCAGCTTTTCTCAAGTTTCTAGCATGAACAGTCCTCTGCAGCCTTTCCTGAGAAGTCCTCCCAGCTTGCAAATACTCGGAGTCGGTGTGATTTCGTTCCTGTGTTCTCACAGAGACATCTGTACTTCTTGGTGCCTCCTTGAGAGCCGGACTCTGTCCACATTCACTGCTGCGGGTTACAACTGCCTCTACTGGCCTCAGCAACAGAGGCGACTCCTGGTCTGACATCACCCCACTCATGTTGACACTCCTCCTGCTGGACGACCTGCTGCTGCCTGGTCTGTCCTCCTCAAACAAGAAGGGAGACTCGATACTCTGCCGTGATCCCTTCACACCAGAAAATACTGGAGATGATGGTTTCGGGGACATATCCTTGCCATTCATATTGTCTAATTCTATTTTTTTCACTACCACACTATCACTTAATCTTTCACCCTTTTTATGATGATCCGAGGTACTTTTATCACATCTGCTTTCATCTTTTCTTGATGCAGAATTCTCTTCCGGCTGTGTCCTATCAATGACAGTTCTACTCCTCCTGTTCAAAATCCTGTTGACCTTCTCCATCTTGTCTTCCACATCTGATGGAGAGGTCACAAGCGCATCATCTGGACTGCCATCCACAGACTTGGCCCTGATCGTGTCCTGTGTGTCTATGTCGGACTCTGACTCACTCTCACTGCTTGTCAGTCCCATGCCAAGGGTCTCAGGGACTACACCGAACTCAGTATTGTTGCGCTCTGCTATCAAGGACCTCCTGCTTCTCTGTAGCTTCTCTGGTGAGCCATCTGAACTCATGGAGGCTGTCCTGTCCGTGTCTGGGTCACACGTCTCCTGAACCAAGATGTGAGACGGATGTGGGTGGTAGGAGCGGTGTTGCTGATGAGGTGGCCGGGGGGCAGGAGGTCCATCAGACTCATCCGACGTGTTGTGAACATGGGAATTGTCAAACTTGTGTTTCTTGTTCTCCTGCACTGCATCCTTAAATAAAGAAATCAACAATCAATACAAAATAGACATTGCCCCTAAATATATAATGCAACGAGTCGATTGGTGCGGACAATATTTCAGTTTATATTAATATACGGGGGTGAGTAATCATCTAAACACCACAGTCAGCAATATACCAGCTACATCATGGCAGTCTGTAAACAACTGACAGACAAGTCAGTTGTCATGAGCAACGTTCCACAGCGTCGGGGTGATGACACTCAATCAACCAAGTCATCGATGACCCCAACATCAACCTAGGTTACGAGGGACCAATGCTGCCTCAGATTCCCCACAGAGCAAATATCCTAAGCTTTCGATGCATTCAAGTAGTATCCAATACACTTTCTTGTCTTCACATCGACTCGGCAAATTCAGTACCTCGGTGTATCTGCTTCTCTTCCCTGGCTTCCTGCCCAGACGCAACTTCCTCAGTCTGGCGGACTCCGGACTCTCTCTGTCACTGGACCCGTCAGACCGACACCCCTCCTCTTCCATGGGTGTTGTCTCTCCACCGCCGCTGCTAATCTCCTTCCTCCCAGTGTTGCTGCGCAGTGTATCCAAGGCAGTGTCTCTCACAGCACAATGATTGACATTGGGTCTGGTGTGTGATGTCTTTGCAATACCACCATTCGAATGTTTCTGATCAGATGTTCTCGGGTTATATACCTTCCCCGAATCAACTTCATCAAAGCATTCACTTCTCTTGAGATTAGCGGCCCTTCTATTACATGATCTCTGATTTGCCTTACCCGCTGACAGATCATCGCTGCTTTCTGTACAGTGTCTTTGTGTGACAGCCTTCATTGTTCTGGAACTAACAGTTGATGCCGAGTCCCCATTTTTGTCTCTAATTGCAGACGCTGGACTCCTTCCAGGTACACTATCTGCTCCATCAAAGGACTTGTTTGGGGTCAGAAGATTGGACAAGCTGGAAAAGCAATATACAGCATATCTTACGGAGCAGTCCATTTTGGTTTTGTTTGTTTGTTTGTTTGTTGTTTAACGCCACACTTCGCAATATACCAGCAATACGACGGCAGTCTGAAAAAATAATAGAGTCTGGACCAGATAATTCAGTGATTGACATCATGATCATCGATCCACGCAATTGGGATTGATGACATGCATCAACCAAGTCAGCGAGCCTGACCACCCGATCCCGTTAGTCGCCTCTTATGACAAGCATTGTCGCCTCATTTTGGTTTGGAACAAAATACAGGCGAGGTGAGGACAAATAGGGTTTAACTTCGCATTCAAGATTATTGTACTTGCGATATGTGTGCATGTATGCATGAGAGTACCAGCTTGTACTAGTCTGGACTAATGCCAGCCTCATAGTGCTATACTGACTCCGTGACAACCAGTCATTGTTATACCCCTTGATGCTGAGTGCCAGGCAGGTTAAGTACCATTTTCTGGGCATGTTACGTTGGACACTCTATCCACTAGACCACTAAGGCGGTCAAACAAAATACAGCGAAACCATCATTCTGGCAAATAAAAATTCCAGACTATCCAATCAGATAAATGCATGTCAATTACTCATATCATAAATTCAGCTGTAAATTGTCGTGTAAATGGAGCAATCTGGCCTGCACAGCAACTGATCAGTGAACTTTGATGAGTAACATTTAATATTACACCAGCATTGTTTCAGTCATTGAACTGTAGTAATGTGGCCACCATGAACAGCTGATCAGCTTGGGTTGTATACATCCCAGGGAGCTGAGAATGAAAATTGAGTGCACACCAGGTTAATAACGTTAGCACTTTGAATTTTTGCACCGAATGTATGGAGGCTTGCACAATATAAGCACATACATTATCCTAATAATCAAAGGTAAAGTTCCCTCAAACGCATTGTTCTTGATGTCTATTGTGTTTACTGTTCAAATTGGGGAACTAAACAATATAGGGAATCAGAGTATTCCCCTTATTTATATACTGATCCCTCCACAACAGTATGCAATATTCCCAGAGACAGGTGACAAGTGGATCCAAACGTGAGTGCGGGATCGGGTGGTCAGGCTCACTGACTTGGTTGATACATGTCATCGATCCCAATTGCGTGGATCGATGCTCATGATGTCAATCACTGGATTGTCTGGTCCAGACTCGATTATTTTACAGACCGCCGTCATATAGCTGGAATATTGCTGAGTGCGGCATTAAACAACAAACCAACCAACCAACCAAACGTGAGTGAGTGTGTGAGAATTGATTTACGCTGCATTTAGCAATATTCCAGCAATATCATGGAGGGGGACACCAGATATGGGCTTCACACATTGTACCCATGTCGGGAGTCGAACCCGGGTCTTCGGCGTGACAAGCGAACGCTTTAATCACTAGGCTACTCGACCGCCCCTCCAAAGGGCTAAAGAAGGGGAATACTCTGATTCTCTATATTTTTTAACTTATCCCTCCACAACAGTATACAATTATCCCACAGTAGGACAGCGGGTTGGATCACCTGCATATTCCCATTTGCAATTAAGTGGTCGTGCCAGACTAGACTGCCACTTAGTCTTCAACCCAGGGTGTGGTCAACTTCACTAGTCCCTTAATACATCACTGCCATGCCTGGTTACAGGCGAGGCTGGGTCAGAAATTGCACTGCAACTGGAGGTACTTGAAATATTGGGAACCGTAGTTACCCTCTCCATATGTACTCCCCTCGGTACAAAGTTTAAAGCAATCATTCCGTAGAAAGAAAGAACAAAGAGATGGGAGTACATCAACGCAGATGGGGAGGGGGAACAAGTTGCTTTGTGAAGACGAGAGGCCAGTTCTGGTGGACTCCCTCGACATCCTCAACGGACAGATTCTGGAGGAAGAATTTGGCAAAAGTAGAGTAGATGTGGATGGGCATCTGTCTGAACAATGGTGGAAAGTAACCAAAACAACTGGGTAGTCTTGGAGATATTCCTGCAACCTTTCTCGGTGGTAGGGAGGAAAAGGCATTTGCGTTGATGCCGAAAACAATAAGTGATGTCCTTATAGTGACGTAAAGCACGAACAGGATAAAGGAAAATGTCCTCTGTGTCACCAAACCCAACAATGTCAGTCAGCGGGGCAATAGCGAAAGTGCGATCCGCGAGACCAGGCAATAGTCACACATTAAGCCTCCGCACCTCAACCTTGTCAGCCACGGTCAAACTTGATTTGGGAGACGTCGAGAGCATGGAGTTCACTGACACTTAGGGCATCAGCAAGAATGTTGGAAACGCCCGGGATGAGCTCTTTCACCTCCAACGAGATATAACATTAACTTGAGGTCCAGGAGACTCTGTGAGTGAGTGATCCCCGGCGGTTGATGTCATGAGAAGCCGACAAGTTGTCCATCGCTATGACAAGAAAAATTCCCAACAGTATCGTCCGCCACATCTGAATAGGAAGTATGCCTGCTTGAAACTCCAGACAGTTGATGTGCCAGTGGAGATGGGGCAGTTCACAATCCTGAAACCCGGAGGTCCTTAAATGGGACCCCACCCTTCATTTGATGCATCCACAAACAGGTGGTGAGCGGGAACTAAGTCGGTCAAAGAGACCCCGTCGAAGATGTTCAACTCGAGGGTCCACCAATGGAGGTAAGGTCAAAGAGAGGCTGGGAGAGATACAACCTGGTCTGGCGTGTCCCGATCGAACCACAGTTGAAGAAAAATCTGCAGAGGGTGAAACTGCAAGCGTCTGGGGTTTGGCGAATCCTGCGCTGATGTGATAAGTTGGTACCAGGAAAATAGGGCTGTAAAATCCTGGAGTAAGATTCGTTGGAGATAGGTGTTCTAAAGCCCCCTTGTCAAACAGGATCCGCATGTTGTCCTGTAACGTTATGGTAGGAGGGACAAACGAATGTCAGAATCAACAGACATAAAGGATCTATGATCCATCTTGAGGTGCAAGGACATAGAACAACCCAAAGTTATAGCATCATCTCCATCAAGGGGAGGCGCCAAAGTTGGAAATGAAATCCCATGCAATTTTTAATGCAGGACCCGATAGCGGGTTTGGGAAGCGAACCCTTAAGGGCTTCCTTATCCAAAGCCTGCTGCAACAGACTGGAGTAGGGGGGTACCTGAGGAGACGAGAGTGGTAACTGTAGTACCGAACTGACGTCCCTGAGCATATGAGCATCCTGAGACGGTGGAGGTGACAGCTGCATGCTTACAATAGGGGTTCAAAGTCGGAAAACAAAATGGAGCTTTCACGTGCCAAGAGTTATGTTAACAATGGCGGGGAAAGAAATGTGTGAGGAAGGTAAGTAGCCGTTTTTTAAATATTTTTTTATAAGGAATGGCTAAGGACCCGTAGATAAATGTACGGAGATATTCAATTCAAACCGAAATGACAAACAAATCCAATCGTAAATGTGGAGTGGAAGCTAACACGTCCGTTCACTACGGGCGATGAAGGAAAAAGTGACGAGTAGTACAGGAGCATGCTGGGAGCGAGGTGGTCGGACGGTGTTTTCCGCTGATTGTTGTTTTCACAATGTTCAACACTGTTATATAATCGAAGCAAGAAGGAATATTGCATACTGTTGTAGGGGGATAAGTTAAAAAATATGTGTATTACTGTACGACAAGTTACAACAATCCCACTTACTTCAGATCAGGCTGCGGAACTTGCTTGGTCTCAGATAATCTCTCTTCTGCAAAATAACATTAAGACTGCATTCTACACATGAGTTAACTTTACTTGATTAACTTGTTTGGTTAATTTTTCTTTACTGTTATCATTATTTTCTGTCAATAATAATCATTATCCAGTTTTCAGACTAGTGGGGCTTAATTATATCCATCAGCTCTTTTCCAGAAGTAAACTATTCTAATATGCATTTATTAGTTTACCCACACAATAAACCTAAAGTGAAAGTGAGAATTGTTGTTTAAGACTAGATTGAAGTACGATATTGATTCTAACATATTGTAGCATCATTGGTTCCCCATAAGCGCCAGCATGCATGTTGTCCCGTTTCACTTTCCCATTTCAGTTTCCACTACTTCCCTTCCCACGACCCATTTCAGTTACACTGGCTCAGGTTCCCAGTTCCAGTTTCCTCTGATATATTTTTTCCTGCTTCAGACCCCCTACCAGTTTCCTAGTTAAGGTTTCCCTATGCTATGGCTTCCCTTTTCAGTTTCCCCTGCTTCAGTTCCACATTTCAGTTTCTCCTGCCGCAGTTTCCACTGCTGCACTTTCTCCCTCCGGTTTCAGTTACCCCTGCTTCAGTTTCCACTGCTTCACTTTTCCAGTCTCATCTTATCTTCCCCTGCTTCAATTTCGCAGTTTCAGTTTCCCCTACTTAAGTTTCTCAGTTTCAGTTTCCCCTGCTTTAGTTCCCGAAGTTTCGGTTTCTCAGTTTCAGTTTCCCCTACTTCAGTTTCCCTGCTTCAGTTTCCCCTACTTCCATTTCCCCTGCTTCAGTTTCCCTGCTTTAGTTCCCGAAGTTTCAGTTCCCATACTTCCGTTTCCCCTGCTTGAGGTTCCCCTACTTCAGTTTCCCCTGCTTCAGGTCACACTGCTTCACCTTCCCGCTGTCAGTTCTCATATTTGTTTCCCCTGCTTCAGTTTTCTTCAGTTTACCGAGATAGTGGATCATCTTCTCCTTCTCCTCCAGGCTGTGCTTGTACGCCTCCTGTATGGCCGACACCGAACTCTGAAGGTGCTCACACGTCCGACACTTCCCACTGCCCCGACCATCCCTATTGTCAGGCACATGTTTGAGGTAAAACAGGAATACAAACAACTATAATAGGTTTGCTGCTGAGGTCAGCTGCTGTAGTATTTGAATGTAGATAACCTCTTAATCTTTTTTTTTTAACTAACATGGTTTAATTTCGTAAATTTCAAAATTTGAATTTTCTTCAACAATTAATATACCAAAGAACTAGAGTGAGTGAGTGAGTATGGTTTTACGCCGCTTTTATCAATATTCCAGCAATATCACGGCGGGGGACACCAGAAATGGGCTTCACACATTGTACCCATGTTGGGAATCGAACCCGGGTCTTCGGCGTGACGAGCAAACGCTTTAACCACTAGGCTACCCTACCGCCCCCCAAAAGAACTAGAGCATTCATGTATATGATAGGGTTTGTTTCCAGCTACATCTGTCAGCCTTACTGAGCTCTGATGTCCTCCAGGAGGTTCCGGAGACGAGTGTTTTCACTGTACAGGATCTCATTCTGGTCCAGCAGACCCTGCACTTTCTCTACCAGTCTGAAGTATAACAAGACATGTAACATCATACAATATCAACAGAAAAGTAAGACCTAGCTACATCAATATGAAATTCCTACGCACACATCACCAGAACATCTTCATTGAATGCATCTCACAAAATAAACAATTTATTCTATCAAGTAAACATTGCAGTTTTTGCAACATAAAGGTTACAGCCAGGCTATTCATGAAAGTGAGTGAGTGAGTTGGGTTTAACGCCGCTTTTAACAGTATTCCATTTATATCGCGGCGTGTCAGCTTAATGTGGGAGGAAAGCCTGAAGTGATGCAGGTCTCAGACATTTACCACTTCGGTGAAACCCACGAGCATGGGTATGGGTGCTGACAAACCTAGAAACATAATCGGAGCGAACCGGGATTCGAACCCACAATCATAGGTTTCTGGTGTGCCCAAGGGATGCAACTCTGCAATCCCGGCGAATCCCGGCGAATCCCGGCGAATCGCGGCGCCTTAGACGACTGGGCCACCCATGCCCCCCTATTCATGAAAGGAGCGTCCGTTAGCTTACCGGTAACAAGTTCAGTTTGGTTGAAATCCATCACGATCAATGTTTGATAATTTTGATAAAATTCTCAAACTGATTTGGCATTTGTATGTGTAAATAATTGAATCTAGATCAGACAAACCAGTGGTTGATAGAAGGATCAATGATTCACATCATCACCAGCTGACTCTAAGGACTAAAGGCTCATTCTGCCTGGACTCCTCACCAGGGGTCCGGAAACCGTCATATGCGCCGGACATGTCCGATTGGGAATCTCAAATGTCCGGTTTAAAATATTGCTTACCAGACATTTAATTTTTTCTGTCCAGACATTTTAAAAAGTATTGTCCGGACATTCTTAAATTTTGACCGGATATGATCAACAGTTAGGACTGAGCAGTTTCTGTCTGCAGTTGTAACACAATGAAGATTATCTACAAGCTTTGTTTGTTTTGATTGCTGTAAATACATCGTACCTACAGTGATAGTCCAATCGGTCAATCACTGTAATAGGCAATAAACTGAGTTGACACTGATTAATCGAGGATTAATTACTGAGAACATCTTGTTAATTTGAGTAAAATGTGTTTACAACTGTACATAAATACCTTGCATCATCGATGTACCTCATTATCCTCACAATGCTACGATACGTAACCTCAGAAAAAGAAGTGAAAGCATGACGACAGCCAGTCGACCGATGCAGATCAGTCGAGCGGTTCTGCCAAACCCTCAAAGTCTGAATGATCATTTTGTTGATCATTATTGAATCTTTATTGACCGCCATTTTGCTTTCTGTGACGATCGATATCAATTTTTTATATGGTCAATAATTAAGTACAGATGAAAAAGTATTCAAATAACTGTTGCTATCAACGATAGTTTAGGATTTATGATTATATTATCGGTCTTGTTTTTAAATAATCTTTAGTTTAAAAAAAATATTTCCCGTGAGGTCACGTGATAACCAAATATGGGATAATAGTCTCGATCCAAATGTTACAACGCGTACACTTGAGCAGACTCATGAATATTAATTAGACCGTTCACAACGTTGACAGATCGTTATTATAACAGAAAGAAACGTATGTTTTCCATATATATCTAAAATGATATTATTTGTTATTAATTGTCCGGTGAATTAAACAATTTAAATTGAAACAATTCATAATTCATCATATTATGAATACGTAACAACTTCTAATTTGTGTGTAAAAAGTCGTACTAAAACACGCTGTTTGGAGGGGGCGTGGCATAAATGTAAATGTCCGATTGGGATTTTAAATTTTCCGGACCCCTGCTCCTCACAGAGCTGAACTTTTACCCAGAGTTTTACTTCAGCTACCCATGTTATTCCAGGCTCATTACCTTGTTTTGTGTTGGCCAAGGTGATCATAGCCCTTTTTATATTTATCTTTTTCATCTGTTAATTCTAAAAGAAAAAGAAAAAGAGTTGTAAGTTAAAACAGTTTACTATTCAAATTATCATAGAAATATGCCTATGTGTAAATCTGATAACATTTACCTCAAACACATAGCTATGTACAGCTCCACATTCACTTTCCAAATATCTACTGGTCAATAACACACAGTTATAAATCCTCTATTGTAAATCAGGTAACTTTTACTGCATACTCATAGCTATGTACAGCTCCACTTTCCCTTTCCAAATATCTACTGGTCAATAACACACAGTTATAAATCCTCTATTGTAAATCAGGTAACTTTTACTGCAAACTCATAGCTATGTACAGCTCCACTTTCACTTTCCAAATATCTACTGGTCAATAACACACAGTTATAAATCCTCTATTGTAAATCAGGTAACTTTTACTGCAAACTCATAGCTATGTACAGCTCCACTTTCACTTTCCAAACATCTTCTGGTCAATAACACAGTTATAAATCCCTTTTACAGTACCAACCTACCATTCTATTAGAGTCTGATGCTGATTTTGAACCAGGTTTCACTATTAACAAGCTCTTTTGAGTGCTGCACATCAAAAGATATCATGGAAATATTTGGGCACCTAAAGCCACCAAGTTCCAAAACAATTGACCTTTTAGTAGACCAAATATCATGTATATAGCTTGTGAAGGCCAGTTTAACATCAGCATCAGACTATAGGACTGTTACAGCAGGAGGGATTCATAGCTTAGCTAGAACATGAAATCAGTTCCAAGTGGATATTGTCAGCCCCATTGGATATTGTCAGTCCCAGTGGATATTGTCAGAAAACGTAGCTACAATTTTGCAGCAATCAAAGGTGTATTTCTAGTAACACAAACCAAAAATATATGTATTATTTCAATGGGCAGTCTTTTTGTCCCAAAGGGCAATAACTCTTCTTTTGAAATGACATAAGCGACAGTCCAACCTGTTGCTTCCGCACTGGTTCCCTGCTCAATGTGTGCTGCGAAAACTTGCGAAAACTTGCGACAACTTGTGACATGTAGAGACAGAGCCAAGCTAAAACGTTTCATTGTTTCACCTTCATTCAAAAATGGTCGTTTAGCACTGAATATCTTAACTAGCACATGACTTGTAGAGAGACTGCAACTAAAACACGAATTGACACGATGGAAGGTAAGGGGCAAAAAGCCATGAAAAACTGTATTATCTCGACATTTTCTACATCAGAAAATTACAAGGCATTCTGTCAGTCTGAGGTAATGCTGCATCAATGAAATAATCCAAACTCAACTATCAGCCATCGTGTTATTTCCCACAAGTTCTTGATTAATGCAACATTCAAATCTAACAAATTAATAGTTTTCATGGACTTAATTGACTTCAATGTAATCAAGTTGGAGATCGGCCTAAATCTGCAGCACACAGGCAACCTTTCATAGGCCTCGACAAAACGATAGTTTTTTATTCATATGAACATTATGAAAAGGCTGGATTACATAAACTAACACATTGCTTATGTTTCAAAATTCCTTTCTGCATGTAGGCCATGTCAGCAGCACAATTTAAAGCTGACACTCAATGACTACCTTTCAGCACCTGAAAACTTACCTCTGATCTTCTCCTTGTGTAGTGAGTAGACCTTCTTGAGGGCAAGTTGTAGGGGATCTAACTGAGATGGTAGCTCTGTTCCTGTCGACTTCTCACTCATCCTGTTACTGCGGACAGACTTCATTCATTAGTCCATGAAGGATGAACTGATTCCAGATCCCAGAAATATACCCTCATTCAGAGTAATACTATCATTATCTCCACTACGCTTTGTTTTTTGTTTAAAGCCACATTTAGCAATATTCCAGCTATATGACAGCAGTCTGTACTTTATAATCGAGTCAGGACCAGACATTCCAGTGATTGACATCATTAGCATCGATCTACGCAATTGGGATATGATGACATACATCAACCAAGTCAGCAAGCCTGACCACCCGATCCTGTAAGTCACCTCTTACAACAAGCATGGGTTGCTGAAGTCCTATTCTCAGAACTTCACGGTTACTCTACTATGCATTGATATCACTCGGAACATAGGCCTAGTTGAGATATGATAGTATGCTAATGACTGAATCGTGTCTATCTAGTGCATTGAATGCAATAAAAGGGGTGTTTTGTAATTTTCCCCACAGAGAATTGATGCTTATAACCACAATGTGACTAATATTCTGCGATGTGTTTGGTAGGACTAGGCCTAGTAGCCCGAGCAGACTACAACCCATTGAGCATGACTGACCGTATGTCTACATGACTATGTACAACAACAATAATTACGTAAATAATCTTACTGCTGATTGCAGAATACAAATCAGTCTATATTAAGCTTTTTAATAGGTGTGTGTGTCTTTTGTTACCTCCTGCATTGTCCATTCAAGTTCGTGAATCCAGGCTGTCAACATATCATGAACTCGTGCCAGTGCACGAAAATCGTATGTCTACTGGTCAGCCGTAACGAAGTCTGGGCGTTATTTTGTACCAATATGAACATACCTGTCTACATTGAAATCACACCATCCCCTAGTGCCATCAAGATAAATCAAAACGAGTCTAAGTTTGGGTAAATGAAATGAGGGTGTGAATTACAATCATTCTTCGATGTTGTAACTCGCGCCACTTTCCCGTTTCAGTCAGTTCGATTGGATAAACTGGTACACGATATGTTTACGCGAAAGTAATTTTTAAAGCGGCAGTAAAATCTCTCCTTAATGTTATACATCGGGCAGTTTTGACCTGCTCCCACGCAAGTGATACGAAAGAGTCTATATAAAACTGTGTGCAACACTGTTATAACACATTATGTTTTATTCGCATGATTCTTTTGCCAAGTGTCGGGACTAGAACAAAGCTGACATACTCGAGTTTCCACTTTGTTGGTTTTTATATATCGATCTATTGTGATAAAACAAATAGAATAGAGAAATAATACAGTGGTTAATCGAGGATGAGCTGAGGAATACTCCTCCCTTTTTCATATGACAACACATTACTCCGTGAAGGGGATACGCTCCACAGTCTGTTGAATATCTTCTGTCAAAGTACCAGAAGTGAACGCACAGACCGTCACCGTGCATTATATAAACGTGGGGTGGTGTCTGGTGCCAGATTAAAACTTGCCCGGACATTGCCGTGTGTAATAATGCATAATAAGGAACCTCAATTAATCTACAACATAAAACTTCAGTTATCAAACAAACAAATGCTGCTTCTATAATTTGCAGGACTGTAATTTTCCCTCTATGTTCATAATTCAGTCAAAACGGACCTGCGCCAAATTGGTCGAAACTGACCAGTGAAATACCACATGAAAACAAAAAGAAGCTGGTCACTTTTAGAGTTTTAAACTCCTATCATGTCTTTTGATATCATATATATTTGGCTTACAAACTCGACCACATTCATGCTGATACACTACATTTAGTCACACACTATTTGGGCCTATATTATAGAGGAACACATGCACGTGTGTATATACCTACGTCTAGATGCTCATAACAACATACGTCTTGGATGAGTTCATCGCCGGAAGGTTGGTTGGTTGGTTTGTTGCTTAACGCCGCACTCAGCAATATTCCAGCTATATGACGGCGGTCTTTAAATAATCGAGTCTGGACCAGAGAATCCAGTGATTGACATCATGAGCATCGATCCACGCAATTGGGATCAATGACATGCATCAACCAAGTCAGCAAGCCTGACCACCCGATCCCGTTAGTCGCCTTTTACGACAAGCATAGTCACCTTTTACGGCAAGCATGGGTTACTGAAGATCTATTCTACCCCGGAATCTTCAAGGGTCTCGCCGGAAGGGTACAATGTTAGCAGTACTATACAGAGAGTGCCAACCCCCTCTTGGTACGCAGGCTGCCGAGCCTTATGTGGTACCGCGGATGCCGCAGTGCAGGAAACTATACGTGGTCGCCATGAAACGTTTATCTGGTACGCGGGAGCCAATGTTTCAATGTTCAAATTTAATTATTTTAAAAGAGTGAGTGAGAATAGTTGTACGCCGCTTTTGGCAATATCACCGCGGGGGACACCAGAAATGGGCTTCACACATTGTACCACTTAGGGGAATCGAACCCGGGTCTTCGGCTTGACGAGCGAACGCTTTCTCCACTAGACTATCCCACCGCCCTTCTTTAGCGTGAGAGATAAAATAAATATTTAACCCTAAGGTTATGAGCACCATGGTCATGCATTCCACGTGAAAACCCCAGTCTAATTTACTTGTACCAACTGTGTACACTGATATGGCTCAAGAGTTTTTAAACTGGATGTCAAGACGAATTTAGTGGTATGTCCGATGCCTATAGCAGGGGTTAATGGCACCCTCTATCTCACGCCTTCTTGATTCAAACTGTGTACATGATATGGCTCAAGAGTTTTTAAACTGGATGTAAAGACGAATTTAGTGGTATGTCCGATACCCATAGCAGGGTAGAATAGGTCTTCAGCAACCCATGCTTGTCGTAAGAGGCGACTAACGGGATCGGGTGGTCAGGCTCGCTCACTTGGTTGATGCATGTCATCGATCCCAATTGCGTAGATCGATGCTCATGATGTCAATCACTGGATTGTTTGGTTCAGACTCGATTATTTACAGACCGCCGTCATATAGCTGGAATATTGCTGAGTGCGGCGTTAAACAACAAACAAACAATCTCCTTTTTGGAATCCTGCTGCAATCTGTTAAGAACACACTGCTAGTATCTGTCAAAACGCTCGTGTCAACAAACAATTGACAAAAAGCAGGATTAGTGTCAATGAGTGATCGAGTTGGTAGATTTCAATGGACAATATCTGTGCACCATGCAGCAAGACCTATAAGTATGTAGGATTAGTTAATTATAGGTCTATTCAATTATTTACTTATTATTGAATGGTAACACTTGATTGTGTGTTGAGTTACTGATGTTCTTGTGCCTCAGCTTCCACACTTGTCACACTGTCGACACAGACATATAAGATAAGATGTGAAACAGACATATAAGATAAGATGTGAAACAGACATATAAGATAAGATGTTGCACATTCTGAATCCGGAGTTGTTATGAACGACAGACTAGTCTTTTTGTTATGTATATGCCTTAATGAGCGCTTCCGTTGTATCTGATTTCTAACTGGACAGTATATACACATCGAGACATACTATCATATAATGATGAAACTATTTGTTTTATGGGTTTCCATTATTCGTCGAAAATCTTTTCTTAAGAAAACATTCTTCAGACTATAAACACAAAAACACCACTAGAGCTCATCAGTAAAGAGAAATTTAGCAAAAACAACATCTGATTGGTGTTCTCTATTGCTATTTCGTCATTTTAATTTCACCATGAAAAGACACTCGTTTATTTATTGTCAAGACATTTATTTATATTATTTATTGTTAAATTTCCAAAAAAAACAAAAAACAACCACAGACATTTTTTAACTAAAAGTATGAGCCCAAATTTCTTTCTTTTGTTTCCACAGTCATACACATAAATATATTTTTTTTAAACGCCCCACACCCCCGAATACAAACAATCTTCCCGTTCGTCTAATCGAATTTACACGATTGTCGTTATTCCCCGTTGTGTTATTTTGTCGTTCATATACATATGTATATACTAAAATAAACATTTATGGCATTGAATCAATTAATACATATTGTATAACATAAAATACAGTAACTTCTGTCACATAAACTGTTGTGCATATTTACGACTTACCAACAATCAGAATACAGGAAGTAAACAAATTTCAGCTTGGAGAAGCGTTTCCAAACATAACGTTTTTGTGTTAGCGTCACACAAGTGCTGTCGAACGCGTCGTTTATTATTGCATTTTGTTTTTTGTAATAACCATAAACACAGGTAAATGCTTCCTCTTTACATTAGATTTGTTGATTTAGGAATTTCAACATATGACAGGTGCGCGCAAATGTGAACAGTGAACACTTGAGTCCCTATTCGTTTCTAATCCATGACAAGAATATATGCTTATCATCGGATCATGGGCTGCAGGGCAGTGTGTATTTCTTTTCTTGGCACATTGGTCTTTGCGCATTTTTGATCAAACGGGTCGAGTTATTTGATACGTCATCACTTTTTTACATTTGAATTCCTTGACATATTGACTGGTTACCACGATTTAGTACCCATGCTGACCCAGGACTGTGATACGCATAGGTTGTACATGAAGTAAGGAGATCCAGATCCCACTGATAATAGAGACAAGAAATCACATGGTTTTGGCGAATATTTAAGCTTTCCAGTTTTGCCATTTTAATGTTTGTCATTCGTTGCATTCTGAGAGAAGCATCAAGCCTGTCATGAAATATAATTGTGGAATAATTTAAAATCTGTCAATCTTAAAAAAATTGGAAAATTAATTCTTTTCACTTTTACTAGCTATGCCACATGAAAATGTGTAATACCTCTTTGTAATAATGGTCACGCCGAAGCCCCGGGTTCGATGCCCGACATGGGTACAATGTGTGAAGGACACTTCTGGTGTCCCCGCAGTGATATTGCTGGAATATTGCTAAAAGCGGCGGAAAACCAAACTCACTCACTGTAATAATGGTTATCCTCTTTCAATGGTTAAAGCAAATATGAAAGAACTGGGAGTACTGATTACAATTTGTATCATTAAAGTTGGTGAATCAGCTCCACTTTTCTATAGGAAAATGTTACCTTGCAGTGGAAGTCTGAGCATGCCTTTGTGTAAAGGCACCCAAGGCACTGTTTTCTAGTGAAAAATATTATTGTCACTTTCAGTATTTTTATTTTGTTTCATTCATTTACTGTAGGACTGAAAATAATTGTTCTAGTTCCTTTAGGTGATCTTGGTGAATTATTTTTACGTGAGACAGGCAATTTGTTCTCATTGTTTACTGATTTGTTTACATTCATAGACATGTGAACACACCATACTAATACAAAGGTGAAATCAGTAGTATGTGTTACAAGTCAAAATATAGTAAAACAAAAATTTCAGGAGCCACAGAATGCTCATCAAACTTTTTTATTTTCGAAAGTTTATTTTAGTTTTCTTCATGTGAATGTGTCTTAAGTACTTCACCAATATTTCTTCTTACTCATGCTGGCATCGACTGTACATGATACAGCTTTATTATCATGATTATGTTTATAACACCCAGGGTGCTCATTGCACAACACGCAAAATATAACCCAAAATGAAAAAGACAGTCCATCCTAAGCACTTTGAGTCTAGTGATCCTTTTGTACTATGAGAAGAACACAAATACATGTACCGTATTCGACGTAATAAGCACCCTGCTCTAATAAGCGCCCATGGCGACATTTGCTAATATATTGGATAGTGAACAATCCCAATTAGCACCCCTTCCGATTGATCAATGTACACAAAACTTATTTATTCGCGTATAATACGCACTCGTGTGTTATATGCACCCTTAATTATGGGCAATTCAATTCTGGAAAAATATATCTGTCGTACACAAATTCTTCAGGCTGTCAGCATAAACCACGAAATTTATCTTTCAACTCTGTTTTTTCACCAAAATAATATTCTAATAAGAGCCCCCTATTTCTAATTTTGAGAGCGCCCTGAGCGCTTATTACGTCAAATACGGTATTGTGATATGCAGCAGCTCCTGATTCTACCCTGTTCACAGAGCCCAAACCCAGAAAGCACAGTATCAAGTCAGCATTGGTTGTTATTTTTAGAAAGCAATATGAAAGTGAGCAGCGAGTCTCATTTTGTGTGTCTCTTTTTGTGTTATCTGAATCATAACTCTTACAGTCTTAACATTATAACAAAATGCATTTTCATTTATAACTGTTTCAGTGTTAACCCCAAAATGAGTGCAAATCGTGGTGGCGAGGGTGGACGTCAGACCGGTGATGACGAGGGGTTTGCTGATGATGAAAGTGTGGAAGAGGAAGCCATGGAGGTTGTACCTACAGTTGCTGACAATGAAGGTAAGATGTGTATAATGATTGCTGAAAAATGAAAAATACCAGAATGTATGTTACTATGATTGGACATGTTTCCTCATCATTAGCAAATAACATGTTCAACACTTATGAAGACTTTTAGATACCTTACATATTTAGAATTTTGGTTAAGACGACTGGAGAATTAAGGCTAGTGCCAGTTTTCATGATTGTTGGTCTGATTCTCTGAATCCTGCTATAATGTATGATTGTAAAATGAATGGGAGCGTGTGCTGCAATCTGATTGGTTGAAAAAACATTATTATAGAGATTCAAAACTAAAAAAGTTCCTGGACAAGTCACTGCTCATGAATAAGTAGAGTGGGTGGGGCAGTACTCGGACACTTAACATTCTTAACGGCATGCAAGTTGAACCAAAGTACCCATTGACTTTCTTTCCTTGTATATGTGAAGGGAGGTAACTGCTGTGGTGATTATAGTCGGTAGTGGTCAGTGTTCGTGCGCTTGTTTCAGCAAATTCTTAGGATATTTCCACGATGACTACTTCGGTAGTAATCGGACGCCTGCGGTTGAAGTCGGACACCTTTGCGTCAGTACCTGGACAATTTAAGAATTTGAAAAAAATGTCTTACCCGAATATAACCATAATTACAATTGTGATTTTCTGATTGTATCAATGAGAACATCAAAATAATAGCAACATAAATACAACTCCATTGGTTTGTCTCTCTCATTTTGGTATCACTATACACAGATACATGTGTTTTCTTATACTGTTAGTTTTCTTCTCAGTCACTAAACCCAAACGCTGTCACCATCGAATCCTGTTTCATTCAGTCTTTCTAATATTTTGAATAAAGTAGGACGTTGTGGCTTGATACGCAATAAATAAAAACAGTCTAGTTTTGGGCCCCCACCCCTAACAGGCCCACTGTGAGTCATTTTACCAGTAAAGAATGGTGTCACATTTAAAATGCAACCTTCCGTCATCAAAGGAGTGATTACTCCTTATAGTTTTAAGGGAACTCTGCCAACTCCAGTGCCAGCTATGTTTCGCAAAACCTGTCTGTTGGGTGGGGGGCGGACTTCCAGATCTAAACTATGGAAATGTATGTCAGCTTCATCAGGAATACTAATTTTGAGAGCGTTTACGTCATAGATGTTTTCTGGTTCCTGATTCATCTTCAGTGCCATAAATGGTAACAGCTTCACATGATACATGTGATAACTATGAAGAAATAAATTATGATATGACAAGTGACAACAGTCGGATGTCATCCGTGTCATTTCCCATGTTTCCAGGCTGCTTTCTCTTCTTCTCGTTTAAGCTTCGTCTCCTCTCTCATTTGCTTTCTGCTTTCTTTCATCTGTTTCTCTTCCTCTGTCTTTCTTTTCTTTGCTAGGATGAAAGTTCCCTGATGTCTTCTCATGAGGCAGATTTGGGCAACACTGTAGGCTTACATTTTTGGGAACGGCTCGGCACTTTGGGAAGAACCAAATATTTGTCAAATGTGTTACTGGAAGATGTCAGGGCTGTGGCTACAGTTGATGAAGAATGTACGGAGGGGTGTGAAGTGTCTGTTTGAGGTGTTGAGATGTGTGCAGTTTGAGATTGTACTGGGGCATAAGGGCTTGTAGGAGGTGATGGCAGAGTGAGTGAGTGAGTTGGGTTTTACGCCGCTTTTAACAGTATTCCAGTTATATCACGGCGTGTCAGCTTAATGTGGAAGGAAAGCCCGAAGTGATGCAGGTCTCAGACATTTACCACTTCGGTGAAACCCATGAGCACGGGTATGTTGCTGACAAACCTAGAAACATAATCGGGACGAACCGGGATTCGAACCCATAATCATAGGTTTCTGGTGTGCCCAAGGGACGCAACTCTGCACAACGAATCGCGGCTCCTTAGACGACTGGGTCGCCCGTGCCCCCAGATGATGGCAGAGTTGTTTGTACGACTGGTGAAGTGCTTGTATGTGGGGCAGGAGCTGAGGATGCATATTCTGGTGATGTTACTATAGTCGAAGGTTGGGATGAGCTTTCCTGACTTAACCGAGTCTGCTTGGGGTGCAAATGTGAATGTTCTGACTGTGGATGGGGTTACACAGGTTGACTGAAGGACTGGTTTGTCAGTGATGTAGGTTGTGAAGGTATCAAACCAATCAGCAATTTTTTGTTGTGATACCATAGCACGTTCTTTTGAAAGGTGTGTGGGTGTTCTTATTGATATTGTAGGGTTTCGTTTTAAGAAAGTGCTAAACCAATCCCTACCAGGTCTGTCATCAGTAAAAGGATTTTCCCTACTATCTAATTTGATTATTTTCTGGACTGTGTCTTACAGTTCTTCCCTTGTCCGGCCGTACCCTATACTCGACATGTGTATAGCCCAATCTGAAAGATGTCTTTCCTCATCCTGTGATAAAACTGGTGAAGGATCTTTGCGGTAAACAAGAGGTACTTTATTGGAGAGTGTCATGAAGAGTACTTTTGGGTATTCCGAATGCGACTGCAGCTTTGTGTGCTGACATCTGTTTGGCGTTAACACCATCCATAGCCCGCTTTAAGTTTTCAATTGAATAAGCAGGTTTTCCTCCTTGAACACCCATTTTAGCAATTCTACACAGATGGTCCTACAATATAATTAGAACTAATCAATTGAACTATCATATTCTATATAATGAAGAATAACGGGAATGTTACTGGTACTTAATATGTTATATTATTGGATTAGAATGAATGAGGGTCCTGATGAGTGTCACTGCTGACTGTAAACATAAAAAACGTTCAGTTTCTTCGCAAGAGTAAAATGTGAAATGATATTGCTTATCGAAAACACAGCGTGTATGTTATCTTATGATTGAAAAAATGACACTGAGATAACATCTTTGTTTAAGAGATGGACAGTTACTGAATATTTACACTAAAAACATGCAACCGACATATTGTACTAATCCCCAGCATAACACCTCCAAAGACAAAGTCACGTGCACCACCCCACCCCCAATCAGAACCCTCTTAAAATATGTCATTTTGCATTTTCTTAATCACTTATTTTTCAGTGATCTTTATTTATATTATTTCTAAAAGTAGTTCCAAATTTCATTTGTCGACTGTCCGAGTACTGCCCTCCCACGTAATTTCTCTGAGGTAGTAGTTGGACACAGCTAAATTAGGTCATTTTTAGAATTTTTGCACCAATGTTTCCCTGTTGGCGGGGTCGATTCACTAGAAGTCGTCAAAAACAGACCAAAAAATAGTCGTGTGGAAGCTATAAGCTTATGATCAGAAACTGCAATGCATTGCCAAAACACAACAAAATGCATGGGCGGCATGGTCATGAGGGAAAACATGTACTCGACCTATTTATAGTGAGTGTTACCAGTAGCAGACCAATCTTTGCTGACATCAGAGAGGAAGAGGAAGAAGCCTGCATCAGTACGTTTGCTTCTGGTGTACACATGTTAATTTGCTGGGTGTCCAGGTACTGCCACTGTCCAAATACTGCCCCACCAGCTCTATATTTGTTCTCTCAATCCCAAATTGGAGACCTGTGAAGATCCGGGGTAGAATAGATCTTCAGCAACCCATGCTTGCCGTAAAAGGCGACTATGCTTGTTGTAAAAGGCAACTAACGGGATCGGTTTTTTTCATGAGACATGATTGGAATATCAAAGCTTGTCTCAGTACTACTAATAAAGTAAATAGATGGACTAACAGTGGCATACGTTCACCATGTATATACATGCCATATTGGTAAATGTTAGTTCCTGAGTGCCAAGATAACATCATGTTGTCTGTGTTGTGGCAGTTGATGAGGTCCTGAATGGTCCGAAGGCCACAGTGTATTATGCTGTACAAGTTCCCCCCAACACGGACCTGGCTGCCCAGCAGGGGAAAGACTACACTCGTGACGAGATCGAGGAACTCATGCAGTCGGAGGCCTACCAGAGGAAGATCTCAACCTGTCACCTGTGAGTGTGACTCTCAACCTGTGTATATTGTCAAACTCTTTGTAGACATGGTATTACCTAATAGGTGCTTGCAATGCATTTTCTCAGATTTTGGTAAACAAAAACTAGTTCCCTGTTTGGTATGGCCTGCATACTGATAACGAAAGGGAAACTGTTGTAAGTAATAAATGTCTACTTGACCGATGTGTACCTTTAAATGGGTCCAATTCCTGTTAGATCTGCCAGTCATCATGGTCATAGGGATTAGCTGAAGAAGACAATACTGAATATTATACTACTTTGCCAGTTTCCATTAAATCAAAATAATATATTACACAGCAACTAAATCTTTTTAACCTGTTGAATTTGTGTAACCTGTGTTTGAGGGGCCAGACTAACTTGACTGACTCCTGGATCTATTGTTGCCATGAACACTCTCAGATTTATCACCAACTCTTTGTTTCTGATTGTTCACATCCTTGTCAAGTAGAGGCTAGAGTACATGCTCTCAAGGGGGCACAGATGGCCCAGTCATCGAAGGCGACACAGTTCACTGTACAGAGTTGCGTCCGTTGGGCACGCCAGAAACCTATGATTGTGTGTTTGAATCACTGATTATGTTTCTAGGTTTGTCAGCACCACACCCATGCTCGTGGGTTTCATGAAAGTGATAAACATCTGAGACTTGCATCACTTCAGGCTTTCCTCCCACAATTATCTGGTCCAGTGAAGACTTAGGGCTAGAATAGGTCTTCAGCAACCCATGCTTGTCGTGAGAGGCGACTGATGTGATCAGGTGGTCAGGCTCGGTGACTTGTGTAGATCACTGGATTGTCTGGTCCGGATTATTTACAAACCGATGTCATATAGCATGAATATTTAACAACAAAACAGACAAACCCACAATAATCTGACACACCATAATATAACTCACTCATGCACTCACATGCCCTCAAATCATGTCGCACATTGCCAAGTCTGAAAATGGCAGCTTTTAGGAGTACCAATGGAGTAACAAAGATCATTTAAAGTAAACATCGATCAGACTGCTCATTCAAAAGAGTAAACATCAGTCAGACAGCATGTTCAAAGTAGTAAACAATATCAGGAGTCACCAAGGTATGGTTTTTTGAGATTGTCCTCTAAATTTGATTTTGTGTCTTCCTTGGTAATCAGCTGGTGATTCTAATCTTCATAAAGGATATATAGGAGATATTTATTGAAAGTTGCTATGTTTTCAGGTGTGGCAAAGTCTGGTTTGACAATGTATTCACAGCCAACTGTAAAGAGTGTGGGAACTTTGCCATGACCCGACCTTGCCCTATCTGCAAAGGTCAGTGTGGGAGAGTGTGGAACAGGAACCTCAAGATGGTGAGACTTTATGACAACAAGATGACCCACACTATAAAATAGCTACCAGTTTCATGTTTTTACACTGAAACTTTTATCATAATTCAAGATTTACTTTAGCGGAACAAGATCGATCTAATTGTCACACACAGTATTTCACTGACATGATTCTTTGTAACTTGCAATGATAAATGAATTTCCTGTGTAACAAAAGCGGGGTGTACAAGACCTTACAAGCTGAACAGTTTTGTACATCCTCAGCCATCATTCTCATGGTATACAACAACCCCATTCAGTTCATAATAATCCTCTCCACCCTGCTGTTGACATCTGGAGCTCACTGACAATAGCCCCAGCACTGATGTGAAGCTGCTGACAGTGGTACCCAACATATGTAATGTCGGTTCTTTTCTCAACAGTCACATGCGTACCACAAAGACTACTGGGAAGGGGACTGTGGCACCCAGTTCGAGGCAGCGGCATCTGCATCAGCATTCAGCATTCCATCTCTGAGTGACTCCACAGAAGACACCACAACGCTGACAGAGGGCTTGCAGGATCTGTCCACTAGCTAGTGCATCACAGCCACTGATTAGAAGACGCTCACATTCTCATGGAATCCATACAGAGCGTGTGCAAGATATGTGTGTGAAAGAGTTATTTACCAATACATTATGATATTGTACGCAATATCCTAACACTGCTGAGTATTGAAATGTTCCTGTTGCTTCTGAGAATTGGTTGTAGTCTCCATGGCCAGAATCCTACATTGAATTGTATGGGATGAAACCACAATCTCTGCATGGTCCTTTTGTCTATGGTTGAAAGGTCTGTGGTTTTGTTTTGCCAGCTTCTGATGTATGACCTGTGTGTGAAGATCAAGATTTGAAGACCTGGGACAGTTCCCATGAACATTTGTTTAGGTTTTGTCACAGGTTATGTGAGAATGTTCACAGTGTCTATGATCAACCTTAAAGTTTGCAACGACCATAGTTTTAGGTTTTGCAAAGTTCTGTTGTGTGAGTTTAAATGATCTGTCACCTGACGGAGCAGTGGACACGTTTTGAACTTGTTGGAGCTCACTTTCTTCTAAAACATGTGTTCTCAAGGTTTGTGCGTGAACAAGGCAGATATGAATATACTTTGTGCTCATTTTCATCTCAGTTTCTTTGATATTCAAGGATCAGCATGCCTGGCACGAAACATTGACTTGCATACGACCAAGTGGAACAATTCCTGGCTTTCTTTACAAATAGTGTCTGTGTTGACATGCATGAAGACTTAGCTTGTCGTCAGCTCCAACATGGCTTGTGTGTCTGCTCAAGTCCAACCATCGAGTAATGCCACAGTTATTGAATTGTTTTCTGAACATTCCATTTTTCACACCAATGAAAATGTAGACGCCTACTCTGTTAGCTTTTCAGTGAACTCTGGTAAGATCTGAACGATTTTAAGACTTACTTTAGTCACAATTAATCAATGAGATTATGTCATGTCGTGACAACAAAAACGGAACTATTGTTTTTGAGATTGATGCATGTTACAGTATTACAGCTTTAAGCATGTTGACTTGACCTTGACAAGGTCCTAGACTTGTAAATACATCAGGCACCTGTCGGGGGGCACATTTCTTCACCCAAAATGCTAGGGACCAACCAACTCTTGGGGAATATTTTATGTCACTACTACAAGATATATTTTTACAGTACCCTGAAAGTGAAATGTTTTTTTTCACCATCAACATAGTAACAAAAAGTTATTTAATTCAGAAATCCCAACCCACCCACCCAAAAAAAAGAAATAGAAAAGAAACGAAATTTGACCGGTCCCTTATACATGTACATTATATATATACTTACAATTTGTTACATCAGTTACATGTAGTTCACATATCTTTACAAGGTATGCACTGATGTGCATTCTGTATACACTGATCATCAGGTAAACATATGTGATGTACCAGGGTAGATACACTTAAATGTATCTGCCAGCTCTATCCATGCATCATACATTTCACATAGTAGACCAGCTAGCACCAACAGTCCCTCTTCTCCCTTGGGGTTTCAGAAAATCCACAGCATTTCTATGATATATTACGAGCCCAAACTGTTTTTGTTTTCACTCTCTCAGTGTAAATATATGTATACATGTGCATGTTTGCCCTTATTCATTGTGGTCTGCCTCATGTCATTGTCAAAGTCTTCAAATCCATCATGTCCATCATAACAACTGAAGTGGAGCCAGATCTGAGAGGTCAAATACACTTCTGCATCAGACAATGTAATGTTTCATTTTTTTAGAAGGCGGGAAACTAATTGAAGCATCTGTGGCAGCAAAGTTCAGTCAAGGAAAGATAACTTTTCTGTCAAAATTCGGACAGTCTCTACTTTATAGAACTGATATCACAATCTAAATCGTTCACTTGACTGAATCCAAAAGTGTTTATCATCTTTATCAGAATGTCAGAATAAATTTTAACTATCTGTGACTGACCAGCAGAAAAGAAAACTTTTCATGGACTCAAACCTAGTTGATATTAAGAGAAGTCTAGGTTGTACAATTAAAACTTACATATGTTGAAGCACAGGAGTAGAGGCGGCAGTTGAAATGATTGATGCAGCGATGCTAATATTATGTGCTATCACATTTGTATGCTTTATAATGTACATTTAAAGTGTTAACCACATACACATAATAACTTATATTACAGCATCCATCAATAGCCTTGTTGTAGAGTTAATTATGCAAACACAATGTCTACATTCTTTTTGTGTACATTAACCTTTAGCCTGCTAAATTTTCAGCAGCCATGTATGGCCATCCAGGATCAAGTTCAGTGTTAGTTGTGGGAGACAGGGATCTTGGTAAACAGCTATTGACACTATTAGTTGGCAGTATCCTTACGTCACAGCTGAGAATGTCACTGTTGAATGTGTTCAATTCACATGCTAGGCTTATAATAACCCTGTTGAATGGATTGACAGTAGCGCTAAGAGATTTAATACAAATGCTACTACGGTTATAACATCTCTGTTATGCTGTATATGTGTTAGCCATATGTTCCTGGCATCCCAAGGAATTTCTGATCAAATCATGTTAGTTATATGAAAAGTTATATGAAATGTGTTGACATAATGTGTTCAGGGATTATCTAGACCTGCTCAGAGGCCTATATTTGGCCCTAAGTAAACATTCCCTAATTGGAATTAATACTTTTCCAACTCATAATATTCAACTCATGTCATGGCTTTGTAGAGGTAACTTGCATTTCACAGTGATAACAGAATCAGTAATGGTACATGCTTTTTTACTTTGTTATACATCACTACTTTGAATGCAGTGTTAGAACATTTCAGGAAATAAGAATTGAAAAAGCAATCCCAATTGTGAACAGAACAATCTTTTCCCAATATGCCTGCCATGGGCACCGTTTAAAATCCTAGAAAATTCCCTGGTATTGCAATGTCGCTGCCTGAGGATTTGAACTTCACAGTGTATATGTCGGGGTGCCTTGTAATATCAATCCAGAGTTGTACGGTCAGTTCATCATCTGGATACAGACAAGACAAGTCTGGGAGCCATGCGTACACAAAGGCTTTCCTCCCACATTAAGCTGTTACACCATTATATTCCCTACCTGAAGTTTTGTAAAATAAACAGTTCAACAGAGTCAAGAATAAGATCAACTTACTTGCCATGTTTATGGCAGTACATTGCTCCGTGTCAAAGTAATTGTCACTTATGATCCCTCCTTTTTGTTTTATGTCCAATTTTTGACTTGTTACAGTCACTGTTAAATAGACACATGGTGACATGGAAGAGTTACTTCCCTTTGTGTAATAACCCAGAGAATTCTTCAATCTCAATTTATATGGTGTTTTAACCACATTGAATTATTTAAAAACATAAGGTGATCTATGAATGAAATGATTGAATCCTGAGGTAGTGTAGCTTATTGAATTTTTGCAGTAAGGAAGGAAAATAAACACACTCATGTTTTAGCATATATATATGGTACACTTATTGTCTGTCAAGTTACAGGATGAACATAGCAGCCATGGTGGTCATACTTCCAATTGGATCAGAATTCTGTGACAGGTCTGTTCAAGATACTATTGCAGTCATCATCGTTGCAATATTGAGTTGGACTGATGTAGTGGTAGGCATTAGGAAGAAGGAACTTGCCCTGTCAATGAAATGTGTCCCTTGAGAATGATGGTAATGAAACTTGTACAGGGCAATCCATCGTTTGATAAATGTTTGTCTGTACCAGTGTTTGAACTCAAATCCAAATTGGATTTTAGTTACTATGGTTAAGAGTCATTTGAACACAACTGTAAATCATTATTATCGATTCTTTATTATGTTAATTGAGCTAAAGCAATGCCTCCTCTGTGTTTGTTGGGATGGACCAGTGGTTAACATGGTCAAAGCGCTCACCATACAGAATTTCCAGGTTCTATTTCCCACATGTGTACCATGTGCAAAGCCAATTCTTGGTGTTTTCTTGGCATGTTCTCAATTAACATATGAAAGTATCAACATGACTAGACAGACCTAGTTCTGTTAGTCATCTGACCTTTGATGCAGTCAGAATTATTCTTTAAAAGAATTTATGTGTGTTGCATTAGAACAACCTGTTCTGACATCATTCATTTATTGACCATGTTGACTAGAAATATTTCAAAACTTCATACACAAGAAAACGTTTTTAGACTATGCCTGAAGATTTGGCTTGTTATCAGGGTTATGTTCAGTGGTCGCAATACAGTGCAACCTTGTTTGACCAGAAACCCTGTTGGGTTTGGGAATTTCAGTCCTTGTTAGTCTGGCTTCCAGAGAGTTTTGATGGGAATTTCTGTATATATCCAAAGAAAAATTACCCCATTCCCATGATTCATTGATCCAGACTATTTACTGGTACATGAAAATGGGACTGTCTGGATTAACGAGGCCCCACTGTCGATGAAAACAATGTGAACAAGATGATGATCTGTGGAATTGTGTGGCTGATGCCTGTATGTGTATATATGTACTTTACCTGTGATCAGATGTAGTCTGGGTGGTAATGTACCAGTAGACAAAGAATGGTGTTCCAACACATATTTGTGAACACTGATTCATGGTCATTTGCTTGTTATCAGTGAATGTTACTGTAATTGTTCACTATGAAATTCAGTGTTTATTGAAAAGTCATTGAATCAGTGAACATATGCTGTTGTAACATGTAACAAGAACATAGAAAATTCATAAAAGTTTTCAGAATTAAAATGATCTCTCCGGTGACAGAAATGTGTGCACAATATTACCATGGTTTGTCTTCTGCAAAGGCATCAATGCAGAGTGAAAACATTTGGAAAAATGCATGATATTTATTTTTGAAAACATTGTGTCTCAAACCAACTGTCCATTTCAAAACATAATCAACTTTTCATCTTGTGATGTGCATTGATATCAGGTACCAAAAGTATCTGTTTCGACTTAACATTTGTGATAAGAGTCGTGATATGAATTGTATTGTGGGTAAATACCAAATATATCATGATCCAAATAACCTAATGTACCCCATACCCAGTGAAATACCTTATTTGCTATATTAAGCACCCCGCTCCAAGAAGCATCTCGTGATCAACTTCTAGATCAAAATGTAAGCTAAATAAATATCCCATACAAAGTCTGAAAATTAACATGACATTCCATTTTCTCGTACATATATTATAGATTTTGTTTTCCATGTAGAAGGGTAGATAACTGCCCAATGACTATCATCAAAAAAAGTTCCATCAAAGTATGACTGAGCTCAATCTCTGACAACAAATTTGAGATAATTTTAATAAGCACCTTCCTTTGTGGATTTCCTAAGTACCCGGGGCACTAATTATGGCAAATACAGTATACATGTCTTCACACCTCCTGAAAAGCATCATAATATATGGAGGTACATGTATGTTGAAGTTACCTCATTAAAGTGCTGTCAGTAACCTGTATGTTTTCCCTAGATCTTGCAAACACCAACAATGTTTTGTAATATAATACCAGCAATCGTGTTCCATTTTCATATCACATTATACACACAAAGTATTTTTGAGATGAGCATATGAATATGAATTAAGGAGATCGTTTCACCACATGAAGTCCCCTGTTCATTTATCAAATTGACTACATATAGTTTGCTATGTTTGTTTTTTATACCTTTCTTCTTTATTTAATGTAGCATTTGACACATTTCGAGAATACAAGGTATGTCAGGTATTTTGGTTATTAGTTGTTTTTAGCCAGTATTGGTTTTCTTGTATGTTTTATGTACATGCACAAAGAAAATATTGTCTGCTACAGTCATGACGTCGTTGATATTCTTGGCCATATTGCAGAATTTTCTGGCCACCATGTGGAATAAACTGATACTTGTATAATGGACGTTTTGTTGTCATTAGCAAATGTTTGACTCTTGGATAACAAACATACATCCCACATGTTGCCTAAGACTGTTTGGCCCATGTTCAACATCCCTGAAACAAGATGAACATTGTAACTCTTAATACTGTACAGGGAATGTATGTCTGTGATGTTCAAACATAGTTGGATCTGTGAGTATGTTGATAGTTTAAGTTCTTATGATGTTAGACCTTTGAATAGTGATTCTGCATTTCTGACATCTCTACAGTGTTAATTACTCTGTTATCATGTTTGTGTGGTTACAGCAAATGTGTCATTGAGAGTTGTTTCAGGAATTCAAAGACAACATGTCATGATACAATATGCACTTTGATAACAAGCTTGTGATACACTACTCACATTTGACAAATAGAATTGTAAAGATGCTGTATTCAATCACCAATGGCATTTAATAGAGATAATAATAACTCGATAATACAGTATTCTCTTCACAATGTAACTCACTACATTGAGAGTCATTGATATATGGTTGTTTAATTTACCTACAGTGAGGGGATATAGATAATTAGGGGATAACAATTATTGTCATTAACTGTCTTTGATCAAAATATGCTAAAAACAAGATAAAGTTTAAAACCCAGGATGAAACTTGATGTTTGCAAATCCTTCCACTAAAATGTCTTGAGGTTTTTGTGAAATGTGGTTCTGTCTTGTATTGCCAGCTACTGTTTCAATCTGACCGTGGTTGTTGTAAATAACGTTGAGTTGTGCAATCAACCGATCACTTCACACACGATTTCGCCGAAATGAATGTAAACAAAAAATATTGAATGAAATTTTGAATAAAATCAATAAAAGAGATTACAAACATAACTTTAGAGATACAGTGAACACTTTTTATAACCAGACAGTGTAATTACATGAATAATTTCAGTACGGATTTGTTTGAATGGTATTTCCGGTGTTACACATTCAAAGTACTGTCTTCATGGTCTTTGTGTTGGGGGAAAAAACATCAAAAGTCTTCAACCCTGTGTATAAGATGACCCCCCTGACAGCCCCCTAATTCTAGGTATGAATCAGTTGCCTTATACACAGCGATATACGGTACTTCTATTATCCTGATACTTGGTAGTTTTTGCATCTGAAGAAGTTGCCTTGACTATAAAGTGTCTGCATTTTTTGGGCAAGTACTTGCAAACTCTAACCATTTATAACAGAGCATTCAGGGGATGAAGCACAGTTCCCAGCAGCCCATGTTCGTTATGCATGCCGCATAATATGGATTGGGTGGACAAATAGTGTGACCTGGCTGATTGTGTGTCATGGTGCCCAAATGAAATGGATTATTGCTTATGCTGTCAAGCACTGATGTGCCTGACCATTGCCAAGACATGTATCTGTACTGGAATATTGCTGACTGTGGCATATAACAAATCCTTCATTCACTCAACTCAGTTACTGACTAGAATGGATAAAAAAATACAAATAAATATGTGCAAATGTCAAATCTTTATTTATTTTTTCCCCTGAAGTCTGTGCATTACATGTGCACAATACTTGCATTTTCTTGAAGTGCAAATAAAACTGATGTATACCAAAACAACATTGCAACAGTAATACATATTGCAACTATCATGAGTAACTCAGAGCACAACTGTGACATGACTTAGATGAAGTGTGTGAAACCGAGCTCATTTTGATATTTTCCAAGAGGCCATATACAGGCAGTCTTCTCTAAATATACTAAGTAAGTTTCTATACCTAAAGAACAGATTGCTGAAGAACAGATTTAATTTTAAATCCAGGTAATTCTGTAACTTTAAGCACTTTGTGATATTACATATGTATTTGTGATCAAATTGTATTTAACATCAATCAAGACCGGACATTGGATGTAATTTTATACAGCTACAAAGTAAATAAAGCTGAGCCTAGACAACTTTCAAAAGACAAAGGATTTATCCCTATTATGGTATAAGCAAACAATGCCTTCAAATACATATCGTGTATTTTGGCTGACATCACACTATAAATCCTCTTCACTGTCATCTATCCATGATAAGTTATGCAATTAATAGTAGTCTAGTGAGTTATATTCACATGAGTTGCAGAGTCTAGTGAGTTATATTCACATGAGTTGCAGCTGAAGAGGATCTGTTTATCTTAGATATAAAGTTGCTTGGTGGTAAACATTTGTTTGTGGGAGCAAGATGGCATCGTCTTCTACGTGTGAGAGATGTGGCCATTTAAAGATGGCTAGGGACCCTCACTGTTCCTGTTGGAAGTGCAGATCTTCAAGATGCACTGATCATGTTAAATGCTCTCAGTTTGCTTCACTCCCGCACGACACTTTCTGCAAGATTGTGGAAGCATGGAAGAGGGCAAAAAGGAGGAAAGCAGCCAAGAAGATGGTTGATGGGTTGGACTAGCTCTCTCCAGTCAACGAGAAGTTTTTGTTCCAGACCGCAGGAGGTCAGGCCCCAGGCCTGCCACACCATCTAATGTTCCACCTCCGTCAGCCACTACTCTTCTGCCGACGAGCATGTTTGAAGATATGATGAAGAACAGGAGAACATGCAGGCAATGTTAAAAGAGAGATTTCAAGCAATTTCAGCAGAAATGGCTTCCATTAGGAAGGAGCAACATGCACCTGAGCAGGCTGAGAAAACTACCCCGGCCAAGAGTCCAGTAAGGGGAAGCCAGTATCATGGCTGGTTGACTTGGACCATGAGCACCGTTTGCCAGATTGATGTTGGAGTGCTGGGCTTGGATCCGTCTCCCCACAAATCCAGGGGGACAGTTAACGTGGACACCACAGTCACCAAGATGGCCACCAAAATGACTGCATGGAGCACAAAGAAGCAGCCCGATAGTGCATTGGAAACAAGCTCATGTCATGATTTCGGATCTTGATATGGCGTCCAATCAGCCCATCAGACAGGTCAGGAGACCATACAGTATTGCGCACAGGATTCCATGTGCAACATCTGGCAACCATCATTTATTCAGTCTTGGTTCTTGAATGAGAGCTGGACACCTATGGCTTCTTATTACGGTATGTCCAAACATCTATGGACAAGTTATAATCATCAATTGCTTGGTCCCATAAAGCTCCAATTGAGAATATTGTTGACATAACTGTATTCAAAGTCCACAGAAGCTCAAAATCTGATAGATGTGATGAAAATTCACTAATCTGAGAATGTGAAACATTAGGAAAAACTTTCACAAGCCTTCATAATGTAACAAAACAATGAAATATCAAAACTACCATTGCTTTTGAATGTTGTCTGCCATTTTATTTTGTTTAAACAATCCAAAATAAATGAACTTTTAAGAGCCAACAAACACTGTTACACCACATGAACCAGATGTGATGATAACAAGTCACAACATTGATAAAACACACACTTCAATGGAGATGCACACAACACTGTTGTATACATGGACGGATTCACTGAGTAATACTGATATCTAAAGATATTTTTGTATCTTCTTAGTACTAAGATAGATAAAAAATGTTATAGATGATAATAAATTTCAACACTGGAGCATGGATATTAATGCATGCAAAATATTTGGATAAGTGTTCCATACCTACAAATTCACTTTAACTTAACAACCCTAATTATTTTTGCCTCAAATGTATCATAGTACAATGTCAACTGTCATTAAATCACAGCATTTATTGCACACAACTATACACAAAGAAAAACACTTTACTGAATTCCTATTGATTATTATTTTACTGTATTACACCGAAAGCTGCAGCCAAAAAAGGGCTACATGCAAATCACATGTTATATTGCAATTTTAAATGTTTAATGCTTGCCTGAAGGTCAGTATCAATATCTTAAACAGAAAATTCCATTAAAGAAAACAAAAACATAAATCATATCCAGCATGATTGAAAAAATGGACTTTAATTTACAGAATGCATAAAAACACACAAAAACAGGATTTTGCCTATCGGGGAACTTGTCCGCAAATTGTAACCTAAAGATTTCCAGTTCAAAGCAATTACATTGTTATGCTCTGTCATAAATACAAAATAGCCAATGACTCTAATCCTCACAATACATTTTGATGTGTTACTTCTTTATCTGACAAGGTCCATAAGAAGACTCCAGGGAAGTCGAGCGTTCAATTTTTTTATGAAAATATTTTTAGGATACTCTTTGCTAAAATTTTGGGTCAAAAATAAAAGGAGACTTCACTTGCTTATGGGGAACACTAAACGCAAGACATCTCCATATAAAAGATTATGTGATGATTTTTCTGTCATCAAAACTGACCATAATATTATTCACGTCTGATTATATTCTGACTTCACACAACTTCAAACAATACACAATTATATAGTAAAATAGGATCAGAAATGTATCATCACATAAATTATGTATAAATAAAAAAGAATATCGGCAAAATAATTTTGATCTCTGCTTAACAAAATTATATAAATTTCAAAACAGTAACAATCTAGAACAATCACAGAAAAAGACTAAAAGTATTACAATCATTTCATTTGATACAATGAAGTGTGAATTCAATTTCTAGCCAAATAAATCTTAGTTGATAATGTTAAAAAAAATTAGATACTGAAGGTTGGAAATAATTTAAAGAAAGAAAATGCTGACCCTGATACTGGTATGGTAAAGAAACAATGTATAAACATATTAACATTGCAGTATGTACAATAACAATGAGTCAATGGTATATACATTGATAACAATGACTTGAGCAATCCAACAGCAAATCATCAATCTCTATACATTGCAAACACCTTACATGGTATTCATAAATATTTTTATAATCATAAATATACACTGAATACTGATCAGTATTTGCTAACAAAATGTTTCTGAAATGTATATTGTACTATATGAACATCACTCCTGTTGTTTCAGTAATTATAACCTCTTGAGCAAATAATCAGGCACATTACACTAATGTCTCTCAAAGTTTGGCTATTTCAAGCATGGCATAGAAATAATATAAACCTACAACCTCCAAACTTTTATCTGCATATTTCTGTCTGCACTGAAGAAGTCATTGGAAAGACTAAAATGAGAAACCAAATCCAAAAAATAAAGCGTCATAAACCCATACAGCGAAATCCAGTTATAGGTTATGTATTTGTACCGAGGCAGATCATACTAAATACTGCAATAGATCAGTTGGTTTACCATGAAAGAGAATGACCTGTCGTGACACACAACATGCATTGTAAAGATGATGTACATACAACATCAGAATACTTTTGGCCTATGTATGCTGACATTCAATATCAGACAGTGAATACTGTGCTTTGGTTAACAAAATATGTTGAGACAAGATCTTTACAAGGGTGATAATGCTGTCATGTAACTACAAAACATCAACCTGTGCATAAAGAGTGAGTTGGAATGAGAAGAATTTGTTACAACTTTTGAATCATTCTTTCTTAAATGGTACCTTACACAGGTAAAATATGAACTGCTGCAATTCAAAGATTCTGATATTTCCATCTGAATACCACCATGTGTTTGTTAACTGATGACTAACAGCATTCCGTTTATAGAAGACTAATTTAAAAAACAAACTTGTATCCCAGACAAAAGTTTTGTGGTTGTATTTCACTTACTCTTAGATACCTGCCATGAACAGTCTCGTGTTCAAGATTTCAATTGTAATAATACTGACTTGATATAGTCACACAAAGTATGCATTCATCCTATGTCAACTGGTATGTGTACTGGCTTGAGGAGAAATCATTTAGCAATTGGTGGTAGAAACTTCCCTGCTTCATCCACATTATTATCATGCGGCTGGTCTTTACTTTCTTCCACGCCACTGTCTTGATGGTGAATCTTTTCTGACTGTGTTAACTTCTCTACACCTGCATCCTGTGATGGCTGCTTGTCATTTGATTGGATCTTATTTGCTTTCTCAGAAGGGTCATCAGAGGGCTCCTGATCTTCCTTTTTGGTACCGGGATCTAATTAACAAAAATGTTATGTATTTGAATGATAACAAGCCATTGTGAATTCAAGTTATTTCAAATCTGAAAATAATTCTAAACAATCTCATTGCTGGTCATGAGTTCAAATCCCAGCTTTGCCCCGTTTATCATACTTTGTTTGTCAGTGTTACTACCTTTGATCAAGGGTTCACCAAAGTACCAAATAAGAAAACATACAACTTTATGGATAACGACTTCTGGTTTATTGCATTGTGTGACATTTGGTGTAGATTTGTACACTGCTATCATGGTAACAGTGAAAATTGTTTGATAGGCATTACTTAGAAGTTGACTGATGACAAGGTGGACACAATTTTATGGATAACAATAAGTTGTAATCCATAAAATTGTGTTTACCTTCTAGAATGCAATCAAACAGACAGTATCAAATGTCTATAATCTGCATAACTTAGGAATTTTATGCCAAATTTAGCTGATATTCTGAATATGATTGAAATACAGTAAACTATGTTTATAACGATCACACTTATAACGAACTGACAGCTATAACAAACTTTTTTCTGGTCCTGTCCATTTGCTGTATATATGCTTATAACAAACTATGGTTATAACAAACCATAATAAGTGGTCCCCTTGAGTTTGTTATAACCGTAGTTTACTGTACTCTACAAAGGAATCATAAGCCTCAACTCACTCACTCTAAACCATCAAGAGAGGAAAAAATCCTGAAGCTTATCAGTACAAAACATCCTTCATACAAATGAGAACCAAACTGCTGTCATCACGCCCAACATGAGAACTCCAGGTCAGAATAGGCCCCCAGTTACCCCCCAGGTATGACAAAATTGGTCACACTGACTGCCAAACATGAATACAATCTGTGCGAAAAGTGAACTGGCATTTATTGTCTGTTGGCATTATTTTTAGAACATACCAGTATTATTATATGGGCTATTATTAGGTAGGCATGCTAAACAAAAATTTATTCTAAGAATACTTCTAATTCTGATAATAGTACTTTGATGCATGAAAACCATGCCACAGGGATGTAATGGTATTACCGGTATCTGATGTTAGATATTACTTGGGTCCTGGGCTGCCTGAGATTAACTGTTGCATATCTAAATCAAGGTGTCTTTCTGACTTATTTTTAACACTGGGCTAATGACAAGGACCCCTTTACTTTTGCTCTTAATTTCAAACATTGGTGCAGGGTAATACCAACACAGTTGTTCAAGATGTCAAAGATTACTACTCACCCTTGCCTGTTTCTTCGTGTGTTTGCTCTGCAGAGGCCCCAACTGGTGGAACTCTCTCTCGTGCCTTGGCACTGCGTTTCTCCTTTAGTGACATCTTCCACTCATCTACCTTTGTCTTTTCTGAATGCAAAAAGCATAGTGTTCCCTTATTACTCTACATATCTTTGTGTCATAAGACACCTGAATGTTCTTGTGCAATGTGTGGAAAGAAACACAAGGATAGACAAGTTAAATGTGAGAGAAACCCCAATGGGCTAATTTCAAGAAGCCTTAAAAAACACAGAATAAATACAAAAGCACAATGTACTTAAAAAACAAAACAATATCCAACAAATTATATATGTTATTGTTGCCTACCTCTAACGCAAAATCAAACTGAATGGATCACAGTCAATCATTTCATAGGTTCTCTCATCAGTTTCTATAAATAATATCTTTGTGTCAGTGACATTGTATCAACAAATAAATATGAAAGACTACATGACTACTTCCCTATAAAAATTATCATAAACTTACCTGGATCTCAACAAATAGCTTATGTGTTTTCTGGATATTCATACCTTTCACAGGTGGTTGAGCAGGAACCTTGTAGGGATCAGGCTGTTGTCCCTCACTTCCAGGAGATGTGTGGCGTTTGTGCTGTCCTTTCAGAACCCTGTCTTTCCGGTGAACCAGCCCTTCCTTGATCCAGTCATGATGCAGAGCTTCATCTGATGTCATTCGCACTGATGGATCCCATCTGATATCAGGAAATGATTTAGTAAACTAGTTTACCTTTCTCTGGGCACAAATAATCTGATTCAACCATACATATATTGAAGAAACACTAAATTAGTTTTATTCATAACAAAAGTCAGATTTTTCTAAAAGAACACACTTCAGTAAGGTTGATCTTACAAGTCTCCACAACTATCAAAACATGAACACAACATAGATTCTTTATAACAAATCAAAATTTCCAATAAATGACAGATGTTTATATATAAAGTGAACTAACTCTATGCATCTTCTTATAAAGTCCAGGAAGCTAGCATCACTAGTTTTGATTGCTTGCTGTAGATCCTTGGATGCCACTCTCCTCTTCTTGCCTTTGCTATTGGTAAGACATCGGGGATTACCCTTAGAATCTGAAACAAATCAGGAAGTATTGCATGGATGTTTCTTCATTAGTATCTTCTGTTTCTCTATGTATACACTTCTATATACTTATCCCACTGTAATGCAACATATTGACGTTCAAGTCTTTATTTCAGAAATACTGAAAGGCCACAGGTCCATAGTACAAATCTATAAATTCAATATATTATATCAACAAATATTTTCTATACTTCAGTTTATTGTCATATTGATTGTCATGACCGATAATAGCATGCGCTATAAGATTATATCAGTCTTTGGTACTAGATTAAACAGAATCAATACACTGCTGCCATATACCTTATCCAGTAGCATGTTCAGTTATACCTACCAAAGAAGAGCCTTCTCCTAGTTGCCTGGTCTAGGACATTCTGAGGTGGGAGTCCCAACACCTCCATGATGCAGGCTAACTGCTCTACCTCATTCTCCCCAGGGAACAAAGGGTAGCCTGTGTACAACTCAGCCAGGATGCAACCAAAACTCCACATGTCAATTGGCATGGAGTAGGGCAAACCTAGTATCACCTCTGGAGACCGGTAGAATCTGCTCTGTATATATGTGTACACTGTAACAGAGAGTTTGTGTTAGATTCTAACTTTGAAAACAAAAATCACAGCCCATTTTACATCTATGATACATACATTTGATTGATATATCCTAAGGACCAGTGGTTACAACAACAATTATTGAACAGTTTATAACATCAAGATAGCTGGAATATTGCTGAGTATGGCGTTACACAACAAACAAAAACAAACAAAACATATAACACCAAGGTTTTTAACAAAAGAAATATGTCATGTTCCCTCACCTCTTTGATGCTCATAGCAGCTAGAACCAAAATCTATAACCTTTATTGAACTTTGACCCCTTTGTCGTAACAAGATGTTTTCCTAAAAGAGAAACAAACAGGTTATTTTTTATCTTAACAAAGACGAGGAATGGTAATGTTATAACAAGTTATTATGCAATAGGCATTGTTCTTTTTTGAGTTGAAAGATTGCTCATAGTTGCATCTTAATAATGAGGTGGATCCTGTTGTATGCCCTCATTAACAAGATGAAATAATGAGACTATGGGAATAATACTTATGAGAGACAATAATGTGTGTTGCTCACATATTCTATCAGAAAAGAAGAGAAACTTACTGGTTTTAAATCACAGTGGATTATCCGTTCCCTTTGGAGAACTTTGAGACACTGAAGTAGGGAGAAGGCAAACCTCCTGATAAGTGCAATACTAAATCCCTGGAAGTTATTCTTCTTGATCAACTCATACAGATTCATTCTGAAATTATAAAGCACATACATTTTTATGCATATGAAACAGCAAAAAAGCATTATATATCTGATATCTTTAGCCATTAAAGAAATGAATGTATACAACCTACTTCCAGAGTAAATTTTTAAAAGTATTTAAGCCACTATTTATTCCACCTTGCCATAAACATTACCAGCACAGGGGGTTTGTAGGCAAGCTGAACACATGGGTTTGAAATCAATACTTACATAAATAATGAAACATACTTCAGGTTAAATGAAATGTGCCCTAAGTAAAGCATGATGAGGTTACCATTATGGAACTCACATTTTCACTAAAATTTGAAGATTTATTAAATATGATTATGAAATGCCTTAACATCACTGTTTCTGGACCATCATTGCTGTTTCATTGGTTCAGCTCAAATTCAACAAGTAAAATGGATGAGCATTCATTTTTATGGTTTAAACTTAGAAAACCTTTAAATCTAATTGTAAGTCATTACTGGTGAAGTTTATCTATTTAATTCTGAGGCATATAGACACATTTACAAAGTGTGAGTAATTTCTAGTACTTGATCAAAATATCTTCCTACCCCATGAGTTCGAATGTGATACAGAGATGGTTTCTGAAGTAGAAGTACTCCAACATGTGGATGATGTTGTACTGGTTGTCCTTGTCCTTGCGACGTAAAGCATCCAGAATCTTCACCTCTACCAATGCCTGGTGATGGAACCTGTACCAACACACATTTGTCATGAGCCCTGTATAACCTTCACATTACATTTGACAGTGAGATTTACATTACATAAAACCTTACAACATTATGTAATGAGCAAAACAGTATCTTTTTTTTATATTGATTTAACAACTCAAACATGTTACCTGATATTTGGTTGTTTTTATCACTTTAATATAAATATGTTTAAAATGACTGATAAGTATAAAGTTATAAGATGTGGATATATTATAAAGGGTAGTGTTGGAAAAAATGTAGAAAAACAAATAAATTACTAAACTAACACTTAAAAAAACACCATGCAAGGAACTGATGTACAGAAACGGTAATCTTGCGGGGAAAAGGTTTTGTTATGGCTCTCCTTAAAAACTACACAAAGAAATTCCTCTTTCATTTGATTTAAAACAAAGAAATTAAATCACTACCTCTTCTTATTGCGAATTATTTTGACTGCAACCATTTGGTCTGTTTTGTGGTCATAACATTTGACGACTTGACCAAAGGATCCTTTTCCCAACACTTCTAGCATTTCATAGCGAAACACCAAATGATCATGCAGCACCTGACAAAGCAAACATAGACAAGCCAAGCATAAGCAAAGAGAAGGTTGAGGGATATACGCAGGGAAAAGGATTAGTCACTCATTTCTAAATGAGCTCAGGCAATAGACAGATGAATCTAAAGTAGGGCACTGCAAGGTGTAAGTAATACAATCTGCACAGATATTTTCAAATGTTTTTTTCTGATAGCAAAGGTTTCATCAATCTTCAAACATCAACTTTGCAGAATGTATGTCAGAGACAGAACATGATAGGAAAGCCGTACAAACAGAGAGCTGAAAATAAGCAAAAAGGCCATAAGCTGACAACATATGGGGTTGTTTAATGAAGGGAAATGTAGGAAGCAGAAATCAATATGTAGACAGAGAGGCCTGTATGTGCAAGGGATGATGTGCTGTTTACTGGCAATAGTCACAATGAGTGATGTATAATTAATCCAAGTGATTACACTGATGAAAAACTTCAAAGGCATACTCAACGTTAACGTTTTCGTTTGTGCTCATCAATGAGTAAAATATGATCAAGATAGATAAGAAAGCACTTCAAGCCCTACACAGTACATATCATAGGAAATTAAAAAAATGGTCATCATACATGTGATATTCATCTCATAAATTTGAGGATGAGAGTATCCTCAAATGTGAGGAGTGGTAATAGAGCACAACTTTGAATATTCACTGCTTTGTAAAATTTCAGCTATTTCTCTCTGGAAATGGTTAATTTAATTTCACTTTTGAGGGTATCACATGTAAGATTTATTACAAGAAGCTGCAGTCTACATGGCAGGCAAATCAGGCTTGATTGTGACACCAGTGATTACCTCTTCTTGTTTCTGATAATTTTTACAGCAAACTCTTTTCGAATCTTGTGGTCAAATACCAGGACAACCTGACCAAAAGATCCCTTCCCAATCACTTCCATTATCTCATAGCGAAAAGCTAGATGGTCACCTATAACCTTTGTTGCACAGAAAATAAAAATATATTAATGTTGATGTGATCAGATCCACTGGAATCCTGTTGTTTTACACCAATGCAATAAATTACATGGTCTCAAAATAGATCTGATTCCATTTTGGTTAAACAGTGAGGACGATCTGAAAGATGCACATCGTTAAACACAACTTAGTCATTTTACATAATTGAGGATACCTATATAGTATAATTAGATGACTCACTACTAAACAACACTGTCCAACAACTGGTATTGATGTAATGATAAATCAACCAATTTGCATTTCTATGCAATAAAAATATGAAAATCTCCAGTCACAAGCCAGAACTCGGACACTAATTAAAGGTTCAGCTACTTAAATAGTGATATTAAGAATACACTCAAATTACCATGTTCATGATTGAGCTTAATCTTCGTCATGAAAAACAAAACAAATGCCAAAACAAAGTATCAATATCACTAACCTGTGCAATATTGATACAAAATCACGATAATATGAGACCAAATATTTTGATAATAAGTTAACAACAATCATTTCATCTTTCTCTAATATGGATACTTCCACTTCACTGATTACCTTGATGTACACCATACCACATTCAGATGTTAATGATCTATCAATAAATATCAGTTTTGGTTGTGACTTTCATAACTACACCATTGTAAGGATAATGTAAGTTATTGAACACTGAACCAAAGCTACACAAATAGAAAATGTAACGCCTCCCAAACAGTGACAATAATTGTAGGTCTGTTCCACACCATTGGTCATCTGATAGCATGGATTGTTGTTAGTCACAGGAACCCAAAGGTGGTCCAAATCACGTTACAACAGGTATGCATTAGAGCGCTGTGCATGGTGTCTTGTTTCATTTCGGGACAATATGGCACTCAAGGTCTTATATCATGAAACACATACATTAACACATTTGACTCAAGTTACAAAATCTAGGACAGCCCTCTTAACCTCTGACTGTAGAATAAAAACATATTTTTTCATCATAAAATATATATACATATCATAATATCATTTATGGAATATTTGTTGCTCGCCTTTTTATTACTTACAAAAATACTGATGAATAGCTAACAGAAATCCACTGATTTAACAAAATGAATTTGTGAGAATTCATAACTTATGACTATTATCCTGTACATTGTTTTAACCATGTTAAAAATGAAATTAATAAATTTAACTAATTTAACAGAAAATACATTGTCTGTATTTCTTTTTAGAATCTTTCACAGATCTCACAACAATGCATCAACAATGATAATGTATGTCTTAGGCAATCGTACAGACATGTTACAGTAGTTCACAGTGCTGCATTCATGCAAACTGACATAGTTTGCACAATTGGCAATTGTAAGACAAAGAGTGCATGAATTAAGGCCTGGGTCCCTAGTCTGTACCTAAAACTTAAGTAAACCAGCCCCAAATTGTGCTCATCCATATTTTTTTCAGTACATTTTAATCTTAACATGTGGGCTGTCATAACCTTAGCTTACGAGACCAAAATTAATTATATTAGGCAGTGGATAAGTTGCAAACAGAGACTGTGCATTTTGTCTATCATCAAATTACCATATCCTGAATTGCAGATTTATGAATCAATGATACTGATCTGACGACTCAAAAGACATGTAGCCACCTCCATTTAACAACAATCTCATTTTAGGCAAAATGTAATGAATGCCTACCTTGATGTATGATCCATTGTCATCATCATAACCATTGTTCTGAGCCCCACCAGGGATTCCTTCAATCTTTTTGGCTTCTAGGCCCAAGAACCAAACCTCAGGATAATCCAAAATTTCTGTTTGTTCAAACTGCGAAAGTTTACTCCTGTATAATTTGAGTGCCTCTGAAATAACAAGAACATTGACACTTGATACAAATTACCTTTTGATACACTTTTGCATTATCTTACAATAATGTCAGTAGTATTCATAGAAATATGGAACTTATAGAAAGAACAGTTTGTATTCTAAAATAAAACACTATGATATGAGAGACTGCTCCTTCATAAGTATCTCATATCATGCAATCATGGTCATTCAGTTGGGGAAGTAAACTACGAAACTGAAATAGTTACATGTTGTAAAATATTTTTCAATACCCCAATAGCCAATACATCAAAATACAGACATTAAATAAATAAAAACTAAATATATGTACTTTTTGTAGGACTGATGTCTGGACTCCCTGATATGCCATCACAACAATATGCCAACAGTGATGCGATGATCAGGTTAAGTAGTAAAACATAAACCAAATAGTCACTACATTCACATAATATTTTACAGGTTCTGCAACCTACCAGCAGGAGTCATGGGGATCTTGTTGCCATACTGGTCTCTCTTGGTCCTCTCTCCTGTGAAGGATGAAGCCCCTGACACCCCATCTGTCTGTTTGAGCTGGGGCAGGGTATTGTTGTTTTGTTCTGTGACATGTTCTTGGTGGTGCTTGTGGCTGTGGCCATGCCGATCTGTGTTCAGGTGAGGTAATGTGGTGGTAGGTGCCACCGATGACACAGCCTTTGCCTACAATGTAAAAATTTGATTGTTGTAATTATGAAAGTGGAAGAGTGGTTACCACTTATCCTGTACAATAATTTTAAAATCAGTGGACATTACTCCAAGTACTTTACCCATGAAGTAAACTATATATGTGGCATCAATTACCTCTTATTGGCAATAGAGGCAAATAAACATTCATAATATATATTGTACCTACCTCCAAGTTATAGTGAGAATTCTTGACCCTGCTAGAGTTGGTCCCTTGTTTTTGGGTGGAGGTAAGAGAAATCTGGGTGGCATAGCGGCTTTCTCCATTCACACGGTGGGACCTGTGGAGACTGCCCTGTTGGGGACTCTGAAAACAAAGGCCACCATCATATCAAAGAAATTGTTTGCAAAGATCATGATATAACTGTCACAGGGAATATTAGAATAACTGTCACTTATGAATACACAGAGTCAAAGGTTGAAGTTTATGTGTTTTTCTGTCAATGCTAAAAGAGCACAAAGGGAGAATTGTAGACTGTTGACTACAGACCTCAGTAGCATCACTAATAGTTGTAAAAAGATACTTACCATGAATTATCATGTTGTCTTTACAACACATTGTAAGTGTGTAATGTTTTCACCTTCCTTTACTAAACCAAAACTCTTACACACAACTAGCAGAAATGTTACAGCTAGCCATCTCAGTCAATTTCAATATATTTCAGTGATGAAACAATGGCTATTATCTATGATTTACAATTACTCTTCTCCTGTTTGTTAACGAAGTTTTAACAATTATTAGCAGCTGATAGTTGGATATGAGACAGTAAGTACCACTGTCATTACAAGATGACATGGACTGATAACTCAGTTGTTGTAAGAGGTTATTACTAATTGTAGATTCTATTTACCATTCCAAAGTTACCAGGGAAACAAGTTCTGCCCTGCCTAGAAGTGCCACAAACTGAGCACTGTTCCCTTGGGGTGGAGACATTTGAAACTTGTCGACAGTATTCTCTGCTGCTTTCATTCCTAGTCAAGCAGTGCTCACCAACATATGTACTTCTTTCAAGAAACAACACAGGGGTATCATTTCTCTTAAAACTGGTCACTTTCTTTGGTATTTGAGAGATACCATGACTGTGTGGACTTTTTGTAAGCCAAGCATTTCCACTGTTTTGAGTTGAATTCTTATGACCAAGCTGCTTAATTGGTATATTTGTTTGTTTGCATTGAAACACTTGTCTTGACTTGCTCTCCGTACGAAAGAGTCCAGGATTCTGATAAATGAATGATTGTTTGATGTGAGTGCTGTGTATAGAACTAGCACTTGGAAATTGAAAATCCAACTTATTAAAAGTACCTTGACTAGATCCACTTTGCACAAAACCATTACCGGTATCTGAATGTTTCAGAGGTCTGTGTATCAACTTTTCTTCAATGTTTCTTGTATACTGAAAGCCACTTTGATATGGGTCAGATACATCTCCATCTAAAGCCCATGGAGCTCCTAAAGGTTGGTAACAACTTTCAGAGGCTCTTTTGCCCTGTCTTGCTGATAACATACCATTCTTGAATGCTACAATGTCTTTTTGATTATTAGGTATTTGCAGAGGTCTGCACAGGCTTGCATTGTACAACTGACCGCATTGTGCATTGTATTGAGGTTTGATGGTCATTGGCAAATCTGGAAGGGCCATATGGGGATTGAATGGTCCTGTACTTTGAGGAACAGGGGGAATGCAGGATACAGCAAACCACATTATGACCACTGGTAATAATCAAAGAAACTGTCATACCACCTCAAACCTGTTTCAGTATGTAAACACTCTTTACATGTGTACGGTAACACATCACATGAAAATCACCTTCAGTGTTTCAACACAGAATTTCAGGATGTAATAATTCATGATTCTTTTGGTTGAAAGTTCTCTTTTTCAGAATATCCACTTTATACACAATGATGGATTCCTCAAAAGTCCTTTATGAAATTCATGTTTCAGTGGAATGTCAGTTCTATATAAACAAAGTCATAAGTCCTTCGACAATCAAGACAGATGTCCAGTCAGATATCTGAGACAAACACCTTTTCATCTGACATATTCTGAAGCTATTAGTGATATATATATATGTTGGGAAGATTACCCAAGGCATGATACATGATCTTGTCTTGAAATGCCAGTAGTAGCCATCAGCTAGTAGCCAGAAGCATTTTCTAATGTGATCATTTAGAATACCAGATTCATTAGGTCAGGAAGTGAGATGAAACTCACCATCAGACCCCAAGCTCTGTAAACATGATGGCCTGAACCAGAACAGGAGTGCATCACATGATCTGTCAGCCTAATTAGGCTTAATAATGAGGCAGGTTTGGTAGAAGATACTATTAGCCTCCCTGAGGCCAGTCAAGACTGGTGTCAACATATGTGTTACATGTTGTATCACATGTGTGCAGTATCGTATTAACAGACAAACTAATACATGTGATCAGCCCTGATAATGGAGATTTGTAGGTATGTGTCAGATTATATAAGCTATTAAGCTTGTCAGAATAAGTTATCTGATGATGCTATAAATGATAATATATCTCTGTGCACTCAGTAACTTAGAATTAAAATTTGACATATGACCTATATAAACTATTTTTGCTATTGGAATAACTTTTTATACATGTTATTAATTTATATACTTCCAATATAAATATCATATAAACAAAATGTGATTATGTGATTATTTTTTCTGTTCTAAATACATCGATCTCTCCAGAAATGATAAAGATAATGCCAAACTCAACAATTTCAAGGACAACAAAGTGCCAATAATGACAATAAATTAATTTGAAAGGATACTGAATCATAAAATTTGTAACAAAATGATAAAAAGACCCCCCAAGTCTCGTATCTATTTGCAGTAGTGTAACTCAAGTGGTCTGAGAAGGAGTTGCTTCCTCCTTAAGAATCCTGACTACCACATATATATAGACACTTGCTATAAGCCATAATAGTTCCAAAAGCATCAAAGTTACTGCTTATACATGCCCCCAAACTCAAATAGTATCTAAAACAAAATTACTTTTTAAGATACAATCCATAACAATAAGGATCTTCCCTTGTTTGTCTTAGCTTCATCAGCCTACTTTGTAGGACACACATGGCTACTATGTAAAACCTTGCTAAATTTATGGTCATCTTGAGAAGTCAAAAATAGGTTGCCTGGAACATTCATATTAAAAGAAATCATGAATGTCCACTGCACACATTATGGTAAAACACATACAACATCAATTCACTTCATGATGATGCAACTCCATGGATACACCATTGAAAATCACTTAGCATCCGTTAGTGAATCTGTATTCCATCCCAGTAAATTGCGACAGAAGTATGTTTTCCAATCCAGCTGGAACATTTGATGAATGCACAGTTTCTGTTACGCCATGTGAACGCCGACAATAAAAAAGAAACATCATTCAATAACCTCCATCCCTGATGTTACACATTTACAAATCCACCAATCTAAATTTCCCTTGTAGAAAATAGTTAGAAAGTCACTCAGATGTTTCCCAAAGTTCGATGTTTTCTTTCACCCAAACATCCCACCCCAAGGAAAGTAAGGTCCAGTGCAGCAGCCGAGAGTGTAAGAAGTGTGTTGGGAGTACTTCCAGTACCCTCAACCTGTCGAAATGAGGCTTTGTCAGAAGGTGAGGAACTTATATATACAGAATTCACGTGCAGTAAACATCCTACTTTTCATATTCATAAACATCTTTTCCCCTGAATTTAATCAGCCTATAATCATTTTCATGTCTTATTTTAGGCCTCCTTAAGCTCTTTATCACCAGAGTAAAAATACATATATATAAGTACGAGAGAACATGCTCATAAAATTTGTAGCTAAGAGAAAAACAAGGGGGAAAAAAGATGTTTTACATCTATGCAAGAAAACACAAGGCTTACGATGGGATGGGAAAAGATTAGTGGGATAATTTGGGCAACATATCAAGTTATTTCTACTCATGTGCAGCCAATTGCAATAATGAGTTGATACAAGTACACAAAACAGGCAGCTCTAGTGCTACTTTCTGTACTGCTGTGCCCCTCCACAATTTACAACCTCACCAGAGGAATCTCTCATGCATTTAACAACAAACCCACCTGTCTCCAGATCACACATATAGATTTCAACACAAATAAATGACTGCTTCCATTCAAACTAATGTTGCCTGGTTACATGACTCCTGATGTTTCTCTTTGCTATGTTTGAAATATGCACAACATGTTGTGTGGATATGTAATATATCTCAACAAACTTTATATCACTGTGAAACAATATTATAGAATAACACAGTCGCAGATAGTTTACAGTCTTAGTGTCATATGTCATTCTTTTCATGAATTCCCTGTTGAAAACCCAAGAGTAATGTTTCACTTCTTTGAATACCGAAAAAATGTATACATGCATCCATCCATCCACACACACACACACACACACACACACACACACACACACACACACACACACACACACACACACACACACACACACACACACACACACACACACACACACACACACACTAACTTTATCTATACAATTTACAATGCAGTGTAGGGATTTAATCAAGGCATTCTCAGAGGCCCATTTTCAGCCCCAGTAACTGTTGTTAAACATTTCAGTTAGAGATATTCAATTCAGGTTTTTCATAACTGTTAACATAATATTATAGTTTTGCATATGTGACTTGGTTCAACATTATTCCATTGAATGCAGTATTAGAATACCTCAACATGTAAGAATACATGAACCTTACACAAATTCCCAATTTTGAACAAAAGAAAAATGTTTCCCAGTTTGCTCGGCCTGAATACTTAGTGTAAAATCCTAGATAAATCTCTGTCATGCTTTGACAGGATATAGAAACACAGAGCAATAGATTAGAATGATTTACTAGCCTCCAGATCAACATTGTTTAACAGGTAGATGTTGAAGGTGACCCATTGTATATAGGTTACTTCTATATTTACTGTTTCCTGCACAAACAACATCTATGTTCTTAAAGTTGTAACATATACTTATCACAATCAAACAACAAACCTGATACCTTTCAATAACAATAAAGACAGGTATAGATATCTTACTGATATGATAATAAATATGTTGGTATCTGTCAGGATGGAATTTCTTCAACAAGCACTTTCTCTTGTTTTCTTTGGATGGTAAAATAACATAACACCTTATCATGTTGCTAAAACAAAGATACAAGGACAGAAATGTTTTCTTTTCACAGATAGGATATAATAGCTGAAAACAGCTGTAATAGTAAATTCGCAGGTTATTCCATGTAATACTGCAAACAGCATGCTGTACTCAACTTTAGGTATAAACCTATGAAAGAAAGTATACACCTTAAGTAAAAGATAATTACATAACCTTCTAAAAAGGTCACACTTATTCAATTGTTTTCTAAAGAACCTAAGAAGATAGCAGAATTTCTAAAAATGATGCACTATTCATTTGTCTACAAACAACATCACTGGCTCCTTGTGGACTGGAAAAAACATTAACTTCCCCTTCAGTCCACACTTTGTCATAAACAGCTGTCCATGAAATTAAGACTGATGTGGAAGTCACAACCAATTACATCTAGCATCATTACCTAAAAAACTGCCACTATCAAACCCCATGATGAAAATCTTTTTGCTCTAAATCACCTCTCTTCAGCCACTTGGCTGGTAGAACAATTAGCTGTTAGCAATCCTGTTTATTAGGCTGAGAGGTCAAACTGTTTCCCTGTTTTAGCTCCAACTTTTTCATAATAAGCTAAAACAACATGTCGGGAATAAGATAGGATCTGTACACTTGCACTCTCTTAATGTGGTTCCGGGCTCCCATATTCATATTGTTAAAGTTATCCAAAGCAATAAAAAGACTCACCATACTAATAGATACATGCCATATTAAGGCCTTGTTTGAAGATCACACTATAGTGTAGTAAAAAACATTTCATTTGTTTAAAAGTTTTGAAATTGTTAGTAAAGCAAAATATTCTTATATTTGCTCATTTCTAAATCTTCATTGTTCAGTCAATTCTGAAGCCATAGTGACTATGATCTAAACCATATATTTCTGTGATCAAATTTTCTTCAACATGTCTGTTTGATTGAACAGAGGGTCTCAAATCACTCAAGCATCATGCTGGATGCCTCCTATTAACAGCTAATATGTTGTTCACTTTATTGCATAATAATACTTATCTTCATTTATTTTGTTGCTTCTTTCACATGCTACACCAGAGCCATACGAAATAGTCAAACTAACAGAGATAAAACAACTCTATTTTATCATCAGTTGCCTGAATAATGATAACATAAATATGCAAACAATGAAAACTAAAGAAAGTCTTCTGTCCTAAAAAATGCCTTAACATAAAATATATTCTTTAAGCCTAGTGTGCCTAATAATTATAAGCTGCCGTGCAAAAGAAAGTGGACACTTGAACATGGTAAAAAATTGGATTTGACCAAAAAATAACAAATGTTATCAAAACAATCACTGAAACGCTGCAATCTTAAGGTCCAAAACACAACAATGATACCCGTTTCTAATACATCACCATCGAAAAACCCATTCTTGTTTGTTTCATTATTAGCCATCATCAAACATGGTTGTATACTTTCTTTTGCCCAGCAGTTTATATTCTATCAACTTTATTTAATTTTTTTCAATCTCACATACCAACACAGGCATGACTAGTTTTTACCTAATCCTTGAAAATCATACTTATCACTATCTAATTTATTATTACATCTTGAATGAAACCTAGAAATCATGGACTTGCAGTAACAGACACAGCCTCAATACTGCTATTACAGAGTTTCTCATGTTCATACTCAGTTTTAAACACAATTTTGCACCTTAAATCTACAGATAAAATAGCTCTAAATTAAATATTGAAGTATCAATAGATGTCGTAGTTTCATATGGACTAAAATGATTATACAACAGATATAAGGCAATGCTCATGAATAGATGTTTAGACAATTCCAGCGATAAAAAGGGAAAATAGAAATTGCGAGGCTAATATATAATACTGGTAGTGAGCCTTGCATTCTAAGGGTTGTTATGGTGAGTGACTGGTTATACTCAAGTTATATCTTGATAGATAACGGAGAACTGCCAATAGCAATATAAACATTTTGAATTCTAACCCCCAATATTGATCTTGTACTATTACTGGTGTCTGTCTCACGATAATGTACTCCCACCACTGGTAAGTTGGTGATCCTATGTCTATCAATGTTTGACCCAAATAAACAAATCTGAAGACAGAGACCCCCTTAATGTTGTCAGATATTGTGTTGACTACGGAGAACATGCTCTTTACTTCTAGGTTGCACATAACACAAACATAAAGGATCATTGTATATCATTTTGTTTATGATGGGTAAACCTCAAACTTGTTTCTTGTTCCAAAATTTGATGGAAAAACAAGAAGTAATTGACCAGCTTTTTAATATATCCATTGTTTATTATTTACCCTACCTTAGCTAAAACAGTTACTGTTGATGTTTAGTTTAAATATTTGTCATTTTGTTTCCTTACAAAAAACTGTAAACAAGGGAATTATTGATTCTAATTATTTGGTGATCCTCAGAAGAACACTACAATGTGTATAAGGGATCATTCAACAACAGGTCTTCCAACATGTACTAGTATACATTTCATACACGAAAATAATTGTTGCAAAACTTGGGAGTTATTGATCTGAAAATGTATTATTTTACATCCTGGACTACTGTGTCCATAACAGTAAGTGTAATGTTTGTATGGCATGCTACATGTCATTAAATCCTAATCCCCCAAGAGCTTAATAATACCAACACTGTTGTTTATCTCATGTAATAATAGTGATATGTTTTGGACTTATTCACCTCCTCCAAATGGACTAACATCTCAAACACCTCAAGCATCACATCAACAGTCAGGAACTGTATACATGACTTGTTTCCAATGTACTCGATAAAGCCAATGATCCCTTAAATTCCTAACTGAATAACAGGTGAACTGTGTGCATAGCCATTTTTTTTCATAAACCAGGGTGTGCCAATAAATCAATTAATGCAATTATGTAATACAATCCGCCAGTGGTGGCTTGGAACTCCACTAGGCATTATTTGTTACTGGATTGCACACACAACAAGGTTAGAACTATAGCCTGTTATTTGAATCTGTTTGCCTCACTTGGTAGCACAATACATTCAGGAAATAGTCTTATAGATTACTGTGGCTACAAACAGTTTGTCATTTGTTTTACATAAAGATAAATGCAAGTCAATACCTCTTGTGGTAGACAAACTTATGCCTTAACAGACTTTCTTAATCATTACAACAGAAATTAACACCAATTTGGTATATAAAACACAGGATAATGACCCAAGTGATCACATCTTTCTGAAATGGTACACTGCTCTGAAAAGTTCATACCGACAAAAGCATTGCCTGTAGTTTGTAAAATGACATTATTTAATGTGAACACGCTTTAGATACACATGTCTGCCGCTTTTTCACTTTAATCATCATTTTAGTTTTTCAAAGCTTGAAAGACGAAAAAACAGTTAACTCATGGTTAATACATGATAATGTCAATAATCAACTCTTCATCTTCAAATAACTTTGAGTTATCCAAA